GGAAAGGAGACACTGCCCAAGGATTGAAGAATCAGGAAGAATGCTGGGTTTCCACATTCCTAAAGAAACAGCAAACTCCACAAACCAGAAAAGGGAAGGGCGATGTTGAGGACTTTGGTATCTAGGGAAGAGTCTACATGAATAAGAAAATCATTGTGAGTTAAGACAGAGTTTGGATAGCCTCAGTTTCTGGTGCCTATAATCGCAAATGTCTTTTTTTTTTTTTTTTTGTATTGGAGATTGAATCTAGGGCCTCTCATAAGTAAGCACTCTACCACTAAGCTATATCTGCAGTTCTTTTGGTAACTACCTTTTGACTAGTTTATCAGTATGTGGAAACTTAGTGGAGAAGCAAATGCAAATGGGACAAGGACAGGCCTCAACAAAGTTCCTACTTTTGCCTCATAGCTTTCTTTCAGAATTCTGTGGTCTGCCCATGCAGAAAGAGTGAGCTAACTGAGCATTTCTCATATTTGCTTTTAAACGACAACACTAAATCAAGGTAACTAAGCAATATTACTCCAAGTAGCTGGCTAATTCACTTCTGATTTATAACCCCGACCTCCACAAGAAAGTCCATCCCCAGATAGGGGGTCTTTCTGTAAGAGATCATTAGCGATCTCTTCTGAGCTACTACTTTCTGCAGTCTTCTTCCTTCTGCTTTGTTCTGGGGGAACACAGAATGACTTCTGTCGTGGATTCTCATGATGATCCACCCTAACCTCCTCCCTTCTCCTCTCCTTTCAACATCACTTTCTCAAATTCAATCAAAGGAAACAAGGAATACAAGACCTAAACAACTGGATGAGGGTTCAGAACAAAGGAAGAGTCTAGAGAGAACTGGGAAGAAAGCTTTTGACTGACCCCAAGAATCAGTCTGATATCCAGACACTGCAGTGAACTAGAGGGTGGATTCTGCAGGCAACTCACCCAGTCCCTTGGGGAGCAGCCAGGCAACTGTGCGTCCTCTGGCAGTGCCTGCCAGGCTGGCTAGACTGCAAGATTAACTCACAAGTGAGCGGACAGAAGGTGGTCCAGGCAAAAGAGGGAGAAGTGGGACTGGGTGACCACTGGGCAAAATGGGAAAAGGGGGGGAACAGAGGCTGCTGTTGTGGGAGCACCAATTGGAAAGAGGTTTGGAGTGATGTTTGAAGTTCAGTAGTGCTAATAAGAAAATGGCAGTGGAAGTGGCATGGGGTGGAATTAAGGCAAGGAGAGAGGAGACTGTGAAGAAGGGCTAGGGAAAATGCAGCTTGTTGGGATGACAGAAAACACTACGGACGGGCCACCTGGCAGGGCAGGAACATGAGAACTGGGAAGGGATGGACAGTGAAAGTCCTGGATAAGAATTAGGGTGGTTGAATGAAGTCAAGGGCTGGGCAGGGACCGGATCAGATACTTGTGGGTGGTTTGATACCGAGAGACAGAGTAGAGGTAGAACTTGGGAAGGGGACAGGACTGCAGAAGTTGGGGGTGTAGATGCTAGGAGGACAAGAAAGGGGCTAAGGAAAAGAACCTTGGGTACAGCAGAGGTTAAGAAGGCAAGATGGAGGCTGGGGAACAGGTTATAAATGACCTCCACTAAGTTAAGTTAGCAAGGCTAGTGGGCTGCATTGCGGTTTGGGGTTCTCTGGAAAGACCGATGAAGAGATAAGGAAAGACGATGAAGCCTGGAGATGGGATTCAGGACTACTGTCAACACAGGGCTTGGACCCCAGCCCCATACTCCCCACGTTTTTGGTACCTACCGCCACTTGTGAACTGGAGCAGGAGAAGATGCGCTTCATGGCCGGGGCCAGGGCCACAGAGGGGACGGGGACGAGTGGAGAGCCGGGCCACAGTTTCCCAAACCCACCGGACTCGGCTGCGGCTGCTCGAAAGACAGCTGTCAAAAAGCAGAGAGGGCCCCGCCTCAGGCCCCGCCCCGGCCCCGCCCCGGCCCCGCTCAATCGGAGGCCCGAAGTGGGAGGCTGGGTCGCCAGCCCCGCCCCGGCCCCGCCCCACGCCCCTGCAGAGGGAGAAAGCCCGCAGTCTTCGGCGGCGACAGGGGCCGGCTCTCCAGCCTCCCCTCAGTCTGAGCCCGCCCACTCCCCCGCTCCGACCTGCTCCATCCGAGAAGGAACCCCGCGGACAACGGCTGAAAGTCCCCTCGGGCCCCGCCCACCTCCGTTCCGGGATGTGGCTCCGCCCCAAGCCCCGCCCCGGCCCCGCCCCGAGTTCGCGCGCTACTGCAGCCGGAGCTCGGTCCGGCTTCTCTGGGTGGCCTTGGCTCTTGCCTACTGCCTGCTTTAACCCTAGTGACGGCGCTTTATTAGATCCAAAGACCTTTGTCAGTTATTCTGCTTCGCTTCCCCCCCCAAACTCCAGCCCCAAAGAGGATTTAAAGAGAGCAGTTTGAAACAGGAGGAGGTTGTAGTGCTAAGCAGAGGACTGAGCACGGATAAAGTGGCCCACTGCACCTGGGGACAAAACCCGAGGGAAAGGGGATCACGCTCAATTTCAGAATTAGGAAAGGATAAGAAGAAATTTTTTATTTTTTAAGTATTCCCTTTCCGGAACAATTATCTTCCCTATTTCCACGACCCTTAAATTCAGATTTCAGTAATTCTTGCTTGAACAATCAATCGGGCGCAACCACCTGGTCTTCCCAGCTCTGTTAACTCCCTCATGTGGCTCCAGCAAACCCGCTGTGAAAACCTAAAGAACACCTGGGGACATAAGTCAGTGGTGGAGCTTGCCAGAGGCCCTGAGTTTGATCCCCACCACAGTGCCAAAGGAAATGTGTGTGTATGTGGTCTGGGTAATGAACCCAGGGGCCCTCTACCACCAAGCTACATCCCCCCTCCCTTCCCACTGTCTTTCTTTCTCTCTTAATTTTGAGACAGGGTCTAAGTTGCCAAGGTTGTCCCTGAACTTGTGATCTTCCTGCCTCAGCCTTCTATATCTCTGAGATTAGATTACAAATGCATGCCACCAGACTCTCAAAGAGAAAAATTCTTAATGTGGTTTGAAAGCTCTTCCAAAGCAGGACTGTCTCTTCATCCTCAGTGTCTTCTCTCATTACTTTTACAAAAGAGCCCAAACTCAAACTGCTTTAATTTACTACAATTCACTTTGCAGCTGGCAATTAATCCTCCCCAAAATCCCCTCTCACATTCAGTGAGGTCCCAGATAAAGTTTCTGTTTTTTTTTTTTTTCAGTTAAGTTTTCCCTTAAAATCCTGCTACATTGTCCAACAAAGTATGCCTCTTGTATGTAACATACTCCTACTACTTAATGGTATACTAAAGTACTCTATTAATCATAAAGAATAAAATATTGAGGATAAAGGATTAGATGAACCAATATTCAAAAAAATCTACTTTCCTTCGGAGGCTCACTGGGGGGTTAAGACGTAAGGAAATCTGTTAACATAAGTAGACTTCAGTTCCAGTCCCAGACTCCATGAAGGTTGATCAAGTTAGAGCCAATAAGAAGTGCAGGGAGGGGCTGGGGTTGTGGCTCAGAGGTAGAGTGCTCACTTAGCTTGTGTGAGGCACTGGGTTCAATCCTCAGCACCACATAAAAATAAAGATGTTGTGTCCATGTATAACTAAAAAATAAATATTAAAAAAAAGAAGTGAAGGGAGGGTCATCATGGACTATACTCTTACAAAATAACCCACAAATGCAGATGGTTTCCCTCCCTAAAAGGCCAGTTAGGCCACCTGATCTCTATAAGGCCATTAAATGCACATGTTCTTGGGGATACTAAAACTCTGTCTCAAGAGGAGTCTAGAAGACACCTAGACATATAAAGAAATAAAATAGATCTGATTTCTTTCTTTTTTGGTCCTGGGGATTGAATTCAGGGGCACTTAACCACAGAATCACATTCCCAGTCTGTTTAAATATTTTGTTTAGAGACAGGGCTTCACTAAGTTGCTTAGGGCTTCACTAAGTTGCTTAGGGCCTCGCTAAATTGCTGAGGCTGGCTTTGAACTCATGATCCTCCTGCACCAGTCTCCCAAACTGCTAGGATTACAAGTATGTACCACCATACCTGGAATAGATTTGATTTCTACTATTAGAACCTTAGGCTAATCAGTTAATGATCACTTTTGAGGGCTCAGAAACATTTGAAAGGGGTGAGGCATAGAAAAGATTTAGTGGAAGAAGATAACAGCACATAGAAGAAACAAATCTTCAGGGTCCGGGAAAGAATCACCAGAACAGGAGTATCACTTGGTGCTTCAGTGTACTTTCTTACTAAATCCTCATAACACAGGATAGATTATTTTATAATGAAACTTTTTTTTCAGCACTGAGGACTGAATCCACAGACGTCTTACCACTGAGCTACATCCTCAATCCTTTTAAACATTTTTTAAAATATTGAGACAGGGTCTTGCTAAATTGTGGAGGCTGCCTTTTAACTTACTATCCTCCTGTCTCAGATTCTGGAGTCATTGGGTTTACAAGAGAGAGCCATGGTGCCCGATATATAACAAAATATTTTTATAATTATAGTTACCATTTTTGAGCACTTACTATATGCTCACTTTTCTTGAACAATCTCACAACCCTAATACATTTAAAGGAGAGAAGTTAAACCTGTTCTAAGACAAACAGGTTTTAAGCAGTATAACCTGGATTTAAATCCAAATCTGTTTTCATTCCTAACCACTGTACTACACAGACTTTTATTGTTATCTTAGCCTGAAGGAAGTTATAATTTGGTTAAGGCCCGAAGCTAATAAATAGCAGACCTGGGGTTTCACTCTATGCCTCCATGCTTTCCAAACCTACACACTTTAGACTCTATGGTCACTTAAGTAGGTGAGAATTTCAGGAGGCCAGAGCAATCTCCAGTGAGAGAATCACGAAGAATATTCAGACTATTTCATAACTTTGCCTTCCAGGGACTCTACTATATATACAAGGTCTCAGGCAAACCAGTAATTTACTTTTCACTATTCCTGAGCAGTCCATATCCTAGGGAACTCAAATTGAGCCAGAAATCACCTGATACTGAACTTTATTTATTCTGACCACCTGAAACATTGTCCACCCTGCTGGGAAACAATGTTCAGGAGTGTCCCTGTCTATAGCAGACAAGAGACATGCCAAAATAAACAATGCACCTAGGACTCAATAACAGCCTGGGAGGACAGGTTTTTGTGGCTGCTAGTCAACTGCCCAATCAGTTGTCTTCTTTCTTTTCAACTCTAAATGGGTGTTGATTCTTCGGTGGTTGTACTCTCAGACTGACTCTGGTATCCATAGCCTTGATTACTAAGTAACAAATGTTTCCCAGTGTCTATGATAATCCAATTGCCTTTAATGGCCATGACCAAAATATGGGATGAGGGTGGAGTAGGTCAGAAATTTACTTGGGGATTTCCAGTAAACAGCAAACAAGGTCTGATAAACTGGTTCCAACAGAGAAACCCTACAAAGTATGATTGGGGTTGCCCCAGAAACATTTTCCTAAGAGCTATTTGTGCTACACAACCAGTGCTGGGCAAGAAGGGGCTTGCTCCCTAGAGAACTCATGCCACCCACTTTGACTTCTCAATGTACACCCTACTTGTTCGGAGCCCATGGGGCTGCTGCTTCCCAAAGCTGGTAAAGCAAAAGAGTTTCCCACCATCCAGCAGTATTCTTCTCTTGGCTTTCTATGAGACTCCAAGGAGGGCTGAAGAGAGCAAGTAAGGTCAGAGAAGTAGAGAAAACAAAGCTTAACTACCTGGTCTTCTCTGCTATTCTAGTTTCAGCCACCTGGGGGCCCCTGGCTCCAGAAAATCAGGCACCTGGCCCTGGCTTTGCTCCCAGGGAAGGCAAAGGGTTGGGAAGCCCATGCCCAGCAAGCCTGGGGGCAGCTCTGTGTCCCCAGCACCTGAGGGTTGGCGAGTGCACCACAGAGTCTCAGGTTTCAGGGGGATGGCAGTTGCCTGTCTAAAGGCTTCTCTGTTCCTTGGAATTGTACACAGTGTCTCTTGTGGCTTTTCCTCCTCCCTCCTTTTTTCCTGTTGACTCTCCCCATCCGGCTCCATGAATCACTAGACTCCACAGGAAAGCAGCAGATGTTGACTTTACATCTTGCAAGCCAATGCCAGCTCCCTCCTGTGGAGTGGGGAATAGGCAGGAAGGTGAGAGAGTGGGGCAATGGAGGAGGATAACACTCATCCTTTCCAGGACAAAGGGTTCTGGAAGGAGAGAGACCTAGGAGAAAAATTCTTTTGTTTCTGGTGGTGATAGGTGGGAGGAACAGAGACCCCAGTATTGGCTGTGGAACCGGGATCCTGAGGAATAGGGAAGCACTGGGTGGGAGTGTTGCTAGTTCTTGTGACAGCCTTTTTTTTTTTTTTTTTTTTTTTTGAGGTAAAGCTTCATCTCTTGCCAGCAACATTCTCAGGACTCAAAAGTCAAGTCAAGCTGCAGGTCTGGGGCGTTAGTCCAGAAGCATCTTCTTGTCCCCTCTGAGCCTCCAAACCTCTCCTCTGACGCAAGTCTCTTGAAGAAGCTGCCAGGCAAGACTTTCTAGAGCCTTATTTTACATTCATTGCTCCAGCTTCTCTCCTCTTTTTTCTTCCTCAGGGATTTTCTTACGTGCAAAGAAGCCAAGCTGTAGAGGAAAAGATAAGAGGCATTGCCAGATGCCCTTACTGGGGACCTTGCCAATAGCCCTCAGACTTATCTGAGGTTTTCACTTTTGCTCTGCTTCCAAAAACGGGATTCAATTTTATTTTCATTGGCTTAGTTTAGTCCAACCAACATTTGTGGAGTACAGTGAAGATCTGGGCATTAAACCTACAGCCTGTTTAGCTGCCTAGTACAAACCCTATTCTCCCTGTTATAGTCTCGGATCCCTCAGCTGGTGGGCATCACGTTCCCCACTAAGCAGTGCTTACCTTCCACAGACAGAAGACAAGGAGAGCAAGCAGGAGCAGCCCTCCCAGGGCACTGCCAATGAGGATCCACAGGGAGATGAGGACAGGGTGAGTCTGAATCACCTCCAGGAGGCTCTATGTGAGGGGAAGAGTTGGTTTTTACATGTGCCCTTTAACCCCACCAGCCACCCCCCCCACATTATAACAATGCCAGCCTCAAAATAGAATAAGGAGATTCTTTCTACTCAAAGGAGAAAAATTGAGATAGGAATGGAGGCAGTGGAACCCTAGAATCCTCATTTATCATTCCTGACTAAAAGGTCACAAGTGTTCTATCCCACTGGGGATTGAACTCAGGGCCTGGTGCATGCGAAGCCAGCACTCTACCAATTGAGCTACATTCCCATCCCCCATCACCATTATTTTCAAATCTGTCAAACTCAGTCTCTAGTCTTACCTCACTCCAACGGGACGCTTCAGTTAGCTGTAGGACACCGCCTTCCTCAGTTCCCAGCTCAAAGGTACTGACCACTGTCACAGACTTGAACTTGGCCTGTGGAACAAGGGGATGGGAAGGCATTTAAAGTGAGCCATCATCAGGTGGTGTGGTGCAAGAACAATGTCTAGCCTGAGTGGTACAACTCCAGGGCCCTTGAGACCAGAAGAGGTTGGAGGCCAATGGGAAAAGAGAGGAAGGGAAACAGAGAGAAGCCTCTGGACCTTCAAATGTGCTATTATCTGAAATGCATCCTACTCTCCTTTCATTCACCCCTCTGGGAATTAGGAAAGTGTCTCTTCCTAACTATGGAATTACGGTTTTGATGAATTCTGATATATTTCTCAACAAGTCTTCATGTGTTGAAATTCAATCCCTGTTGTAAGATTAAGAGGAAAGAAACTTTATCCATCTGTGGTTTTTAGAGATGGGCCCTTTGGGATATGATTAAGATTAAAGTCATTAGGATGGAGCCCCTCTTGAATTGAATCCCAGTGGCTTTATAAAAAGAGAGACCAGATGACATGTTTGTATGCTCCTGCCATGATGTGACATAGCCAAGAGGGAGCTCACGAGAGCTGAGCACATGCCAGTCACATGTCCCTAAACCTAACATACCTGGTGTTTACTTATCTTTTTCCACTGAACTATAAGACCCTTGAGGTTGAGGTCTGTGTTTCACTAACCATTGTGTCTCCAGTGCCTAGTGCCTACCACAGTGCCAAGAGTGTAGCAGTTTCTTAATAAATCTTTGTTAAGAATAAATAAAAGAGTGAAAAAAATATCAAAGAAGGATAAAGTGAGAACCAGACTTGGAGATATGTGGTTTGATAGACTTCCTCCAAACTTATACCTACATCCCTGGGATCTGGTATTATTCAAAGTAGGTGGTATATAGAAATATACAGGAGCTAGGGTTGTGGCTCAGTGGTAGAGCACTTGCCTTGCAAACGTGAGGCACTGGGTTCAATTCTCAGCACCACATAAAAATAAATGAATAAAATAAAAGTCTGTCAACAACTAAAAAAATAAATAAATAAATAAAATATACAATATAAAAAACTTCTAGTGCTACATAGCTATTTATAATTAAGATGTCATTTCTGGGGCATGGGGTTGTGGCTCAGTGGTAGAGAACTCGCCTCACACGTGTGACACCATGGGTTTGTTTGATCCTCAGCACCACATATAAATAAATAAATAAATAAATAAAGGTATTGTGTCAACTACAACATATATATATATATATATATATATATATATATAAAATCTTACTTCCTACCCCCCAAATACAAGTCCTACATGTAAAAATAATTATTTTATCCATTCATTTAACAAAAATGTAGTAAGTACCTACAATGAGTTAGGCATGATGATAAATGTTGGGGACATTATCCTCAGTGTTGACTGACCTAATACCAATCTTTTACATAATAAGTATTCAATGGATTATTAACTGATGAAGTTTAGGTGTCCTATAAATGTTGATTGATTATTAATACAGCACTAAAAGATGATAAAGGAAAATAGAAAAATAATAACTAGGTTTACTGAGTGTTCAGCGTCCAGCTCACTATTTTTTTTATTTACAAAAACTCCATAAAATAGACACTATCCCATTTTACTTTAAAGATCAGTAAAAAGAAGCTCATGGTCAAATAGCTAGTAATAGGCAACAGTAAAACTTGAACATGGTTCTGTCGACCTCCAAAACTTATAATAATGTCATAGATAGGAGTAGAAAGGGAGACTAATAGGAAAGGGAAGTATTACCCTCCGGAAAAATTCATTGTGAACCAGCCTCAGTAGTCCAACAGAGACCTCGGTCCCCTTTGCCAGCTGCCCAAGGTGGCACCTCACAACTTGACACCAAGTATTGCTGACATTCTACCAGAAAAGAAAGACAGATCAGGGTCCCGGAGGAGAAAGAACCCCTCTTCCCACATATACCACCCACGCATGCGTGAGCGCACTCACACACACACACTCACTCACACACACACACACACACACACCTCCATCACAGGTAACTGACTCTATTTGTACTCCTGCTCTGGTTACTCTCTTGTGACTCATACCAGCCTGTTTGTGTGCCGAAGCTCCTCTGGATGCACAGGGGGGCCTGGGGGCTTGGTCAGGTTCTGCACTGTGCAGCTTGCCTGCAGAGGAAGATTCACCCTTAAAGACCTGCTGCTGAGGGAGGCCAGGTGGAGCAGGGTACTTCCCACATTCTTATGATCTTTCTATGTAAAACCCCTTTCTTTCCTCTCAAAGGAGCCACACATGTAAAAGAAATGTCCCCAGGAAGTAGAGCTCTGAGGGTGCTGGGCCAACAGACAGGGAGCTGGTATGGTATCCAGCTTCAGTGAGTCCATCAGCTCCAGATGACAGGATTCCGCATGCTCCAGCCCAGACTCACATTATCAGTGATGACTTGAGATAGTGACAGGAAGTAATTGCCTCCCTGGGCTACAGCTGGAAGAAGAGCTGAGATGATGAGGCCACTGACCACATAACAGCCAAGGTTCTGAACCTGAGAGGAAGATTGTAAACAAGAAGAGGTGGGAGACACCATTAAAATCCAAGAGAGTCTCTGCCCGTCCTTTTCCCACAGTTTCCCTTTCCCACAGTTATTGTCCTCCCCACTCCCATGCCCCTGTCATGGCAAGGCCCCTCCAGCTTCTCACCCTAAGAGTAGTTTTGAATTCAGGGCCAGGACCCACTGGGAGGGTCCTATAGGGGTGAACCTCATAGCGGTGCAGGGTGGACTCACTGTGTGGACAAGTCAGGAGATTGTAAGGTCACCGCCAAGACAGGCACAGGGGCACATGATCAGCACACAGGCATGGATTCAGAGAAATAGGGCCAGCACATGGATAAAGTGATGGGGGTACGTGGAGAATAAAGAAACGAAACATGACATAGATGCGAAACAAATTTTATAGCCACATCCCATATCCCCTCATCCCAGGGGAAATGCAAAGTCTTATACCTAGAAAAGTAAGATGCTTAAAAGAGAAATTTCCTTATGGGTGAGAGCGAGGACAAAAAGAATGAGTAGCCCCAAGGGTTTGTGTTTCTGGGAACACTGAAGCATGTGGAAGGAGAGGGAAGAAACATGAGTCTGGCATAGGAACTGAGTCCCAGCTAGGACTGGGCCATACCTAGAGAATAGGAGATGAGGCTCATACTGGATGTAGGCAGAGGTCTGGGCTGTGTTATCTTGAAGGGTCCCATTTGTTTCCAGGCTACTGCTGTAGGGTCAGAGGGGGGAGGAAGGGCTCACATCCCAATCCCTCCTCAGATATCCCTCCATGCTAGTAGAAGAGTCAGGGCTGTTCCTCTCCCCAACCCCCAACTCAATACCAAAAGAAGAGAGCTGGAAAGAAGTTCCCTTTGTTCTCACCTACTGGCATTCAACCTCACCAAGACCTGGCTCAGGAGTGAGGAGCAGCTAAACTCAAACTCAAGCAGAAAGGTCACCTGGGGGCAGGGGACATTGTTAAGGTACATTCTTCTTCATAGAACAACAACGGAGGACCAGGAATCCTTGTGTACCTCCTTCCCTGACTTCCCAGGCCCCACAGATTACAGTCTCTGTTTTTCCTGAACCCCTTCCTCAGCCTGGGCCCCAACTCACCTTGGCTCCAGTCTGGAAGACAGGATGCCCCACACTGCAGAGCCGGGCATTAGGGAAAGGAGCTGCACATTCCACCTTTACTGAGCTGTCCCTCTGAGGGCAGAGGAATAGGGGTAGAGGCTGGGGCTGGGCCTGCAACTGTTCCCCTACCCACAGCCTCCCTCTAGCCACTAACCACTGAACATTTCTCCAGAGCACCTCGCAGTCAAAGCCAATACCCCAATCTTCTTCCTCCTCCTTTCTCCCCTCCTCCCCTAACCCCTTTCTCCAAAGGCACCTGAGTAGTGAGACTGGCTAGGTGGAGGTTTCTAGAAAAGCTGAGACTCAGGCTAGTGTTGTAGGCATTTTCCTTCCTGTTTTCCAAAGTTGCTGATACCAGCACTTTCCTCCGGCCACCTCGAACCACAAATGGGGCCTTCCTGGGGGTGGTAGATAAGGGAGAGACCAGGAATTGAAGGAGCACCAAAATCTCACTTCTGTTATCCTTGTAAGGAACAAATCCCCAACTCCCTTTGAGTTCCTCCCCGTCTTTCTCAGATCACCCTGGTGTGCCCAGCTCATGTCTATCAACCTGGAGCCTCTGATGTCCATGTTAGCTTGAAGCACCAGGTCTGTGATGCATTCATTGTCAGAGCCACAGTCTTTGGAGAAGGGGACCTGGAAGAGAGAAAAGGGCCTCAGGGATGAGAGGAAGGCAGGAAGAAAGGCATGTTCTTCAGGGAAAGCAGAAAGAGAAGAATGAGCATACTTCCATTAGAGAGGTCTGTCAGCTTTCAGCATGACAATCTCACGTTCCCCCTCCCCTTTCTCCTGAATTCACTGGGCGAGCAGTGTTGAGACCCAAGGGTAGGGCAGGGCTTGGCACTGCTAACCAATTTTCGTATAGAGGTGGGTGCACCTTCATCCAGCACAGGCCCTGGCTTTGTGGTGTTGTCCAAGGCAAAGGTCACAGTCAAGGCCACTGGCCGGAGATAATCTGATGTATCCTGAAGGAAACCAGAGTTAAGGATTATGGGAGCCAGAGTTAGGTATGAAACCCAGGCCCATGAAAGAATATGATAATTATAGTGATCATTCAGGAAGCACTTTCTGTGTGCTGGGTACTATCTTGAGGTTTTACCAATACTATTTTTGTTTTGTTTTGTTTTGTTTTTGCAGTGCTAGGGCTTAAACCCAAGGTCGTGATAGTACTGGGTTCTACCACTGAGCTATATCCTTAGGCCCTTATCAATACTCTTAAATTTGATTTTAATACAACTCATATGATATAGTTATTATTATCACCACTCTGCAGACAAGAAAACTGAGATTTGGAAGAGAGTGGCTTGCCAGAATTCTTGGTAGTAAATGGCAGAGGAATCAAACACAGATTAACCTGATCCCAGAGCCTGAATTGTCTTACTTTCCCTGTTTCAGCTTTCTTGCTGATCCACTTGAAATTCCTCCTCTGACCCAGTCTTTTCCTAGCTCTAAGGTATTAATGCAAAGTAGTTCCTGCCCCTTTCTCACCAACACATGAAAGTGCAGCTGCTCACAAGTGACATTCCCCACGCTGAGCTGGAGCTGCCGAGGGGGCATCCTCTGACCAGAGCCATCAAATGCTGCACGTGCCCCTACCATCCACTCATCTATTGATGCTGTGAAGTGCACATCTAAATGAGAAAGGCAAAAGTGAGGGTAAAGAGGAGTTCAGAGACCAAGGCAGGCAAGGGTTGAAGGTTGCACTCACAGAATTGGTGATCCCAGCGTCCAGGTGTGCGGGAGGTCACTTGGAAGCAAAGGGCTGCAGTCAAGCATGCTGCCTCCTGGCCTCGCCGCCCACAGTCCCTCTGGACCACACTGATGGCAGGTGGGGTCACCTCCAGTGATGGAGCCAAGTAGACAATGGGCCGGGAGCTAGGAACAGGGTAGACACAAAATTCCAGAAAGAGGAGGTAAGCCCTTTAAGAAGTGCCACCCAGTGTTTGCCTCCCCCTCATTGAAATAAAAATGAGGGGCTGGATGCACAGTGTCACCCTTCCCTGAACTCTATGACAGAAGTATAGAGTTCTATACTTCTATTCAATTCAATAAGCACTAATGGTGCTTAAATCTTTACATGGATGATCCCATGTGATCCTTACAATAAACCAAAAAGGCAGGCAGCATGCTTATAAACTAGGAATGGAGGCACAAAAAACGTTGTTCCAGAAACCCAAATCTAAGCCCTTTATCTTAACAGATGTGCTGTGCTGTCCACTGCTACCTGAGTTGGGGCTCCTCACCTGAGCAGGATGGCTGCCCCCTGAGCACCCACAGCCACATCTACTAGATCATCTCCATCCAGATCTAGTCGGCCATCCACACTTCGGCCAAAGTAGCTAAGGGCCTGTGGCATGGTGACAGCAGCAATTCTCTAAGAGAAAGAGAGGGAGAAAGATTGAGGCAGGGACTCATATATCTGGTTTCTCAATCCTCCTGCCAAGTTCCTTCCTGTCCAATAGGGGAATAAGAGAAACTTGACTGTGTTTAGGAGTCCCTTGGTTCAGAAACCTGCATCCCACTGCACTACCTCACTGTTTTACCTACTGATTAAGCACTTGTTTGGTTTGAGACTCAAGCAAGGAGACTACAGATAAGCAAAGGGCATACCTCCCTCGTGCTTATACCACTGTATCCCTGCTCATCTGGGAATTTCTGACCTGGGCAGGATGGGGCCTGACTCCTCTCTGGGTTCCATGGTACAGGTATAGTGCTCCCTGGTGCCCATCCTCCAGGGGTGCCCCTACAGCCACATCAGCAAATCCATCTTGGTTCAGATCAGGAAGAGCACCCATGGCAAAGCCAAACCGAGCATCCTGGGGAGGTTCTGGCTGAAGTATTCCTTGGAGTGTTAGCAAAGTCTGCTGGTGGAGGTGAGAACAAGATAGAAGATAAAAATCCGGTTGCCCCAACCTCTCAGCAAACCCATCCATTCCCCAACCCTGACAAATCCCAGGGAGTCCCAGCAAGTCTCACCTGGCCCACCAGATACACATAAACACGTCCTGTCTCCTTGTTCTGGGGTCCCAGGAACATGGGGGCAGCCACAAGTAAAATATCAGTTGTCCCATCCCTATCTGTATCCAATGGGCAAAGCTCACTGCCAAAGTATGAACCAATCTGGAGAGTGGTAGGTAGTGATGACCCCAGAAAAAAGAGAGTGTGGATAAATGGACTCAGTGGGATGTACTCACCAGTCTGCCAATCTGGCTCTTATATTCCTGCATTCTGATAATCAGAATTTGGAGACATTTTTTTTTCAGTAGTGGGGATTGAATTCTAGGGCCTTATGCATGCTAGGCAAGCACTCTACCACTGAGCCACATCCCTAGCCTAGCATAGAATTTCTGGGCCTCTCTCCTGCCCTATCTCATTCTTTCCCATCAGTCTGGAAGTCCCTGAAGATCCAAGGGCCCCACCCTTACTTGACACTCTACCTGCTCCCCCTGGAGGCTCTGGGCGACCCTCACGGCCCCATCTTTCTTAAGTTGGAAGGCGATGACTTTTCCTCGATGTCTAAACCTAGGAGCCCCTGAGAGAAAGAGGCGGCGTCCACCCCGCAAAAGCATGGAGGAAACAGAGTAACCTAGAAGCAGGTAAGGCATCAGAGGTAGAAGGGAAAGAAGATGAGATCAGGGTGGGGACTCCCTAAGGGCACAAGAGGAGGCCCCAAGGGAACCAGAAAGAGACCGGGGGAAGCTACATGAATTAAGAGGGAGCACCTCATACCCCACACTAGGAACGCATTCCTTCCTCCCACTCTCCCATTCCTGCAACCTCCTGCTACTCACCCAGGTAGGCTGCATGGTTCTGCAGGGCAGAGGGAAACTCATCTTCCAGGGCTGTTCGTGGGGGGAAAAGTCGATGACCTTCTTCAAGCCATAGCACTGAGCCTCCCCAGTCATAGGCCCCCACCATCCCAAAGAGAATCCCATCCTGTGGGGTTAGAACCAGAAGGGGTCACTGAAAAGACAGCGGGGAATAAGGAGTAAATAAAAAGAGAATCACTACAGGTCTGCTATAGTCACTTAGAAAGGCACTGAGGCTCAGCATGGAGGCTGGTTAGAGCGGGAGTCTAGAAGGGACAAGGGTTGAAGTTGTCTGAATCAGTAGCTGGAAGGAGTCATTGAGGAGGTCAGAGGCTGGGAGATGTCATGCAGGGGTCAGAGTCTGTCCAACCTTTAGTCGATGAGTGGAGAAACCAATCTGAGACATTTCCAGCCCAAAGGAACTTTCATTTTCTCCATGAGACCCTTGGACATGAGAAAATATCAATGCACTATCAAGGTAAGACAATTCTCTCTTTGACCTACTGAATTTACTCTAGAACCCCAACTATATTCCAGAATTCCCCCTATTCTTTCCTTCATTTCTCCAGGGTAATCATTACCCTCAAGGCCAAAAATTCGGTCTCCTAGGGCATCTACAATGTCAGTCAGTGCAGCCTCATCAGTAACATTGAAGAAGAATCGCTCATCAGGATCACTGGCAATAGCTCGAATTTCCCGTAGGAAAGAGCTGGGATCTCGCTGACGCCGAAGGTAGTGACCAAGAACCTGAGGTCAGGAGATCAAGATGGCATCTATTAGATGTGTGGAGTGAAGTGTTAGAGCTCATAGAGAACATAGTCAACTAAAGTGAAGGAAGGGAAATGTGGCTGAAGTCCAGGAAGTAGATAATACCCCATTTTCTTCAAGTTCCTGGTCCTCAGAGTCTTCCCCTGCCAACCCTTCTAGATCCAGAGTCAATTCTCACCGCAATCCCATAGCGTGTCACTCTTCCAGCCTCACAGGCCTTTAGTGCTGCTGGAAGCTCCTCTCCATCATGTGATTCTCCATCAGTGACAACCACCAGTAGCCTGGCAGCCTCTGGTCGGCCTCCCCGGGATTGACTGAACCCTTCTGTGCTAAGAAGAGGGAGAAAAGAATGAAGTATGATCAGATATACCATACATACAGGATTTAACAATGTCAGCAGCTCACTGAGATCAATCATCTTGCCTTTTAGGCCATTTCCCAAAAGTAATATTGGGATTAGCATACACTTAGAACTCAAATGTACAAATGCCATAGAATATACATTCAGTTCAAATAAAGCACAAAATTTATCCAAAATATTGCATTTGGGAAGAGAAATATTAAGGAAATGCAGAATAAAGAATGGTTGTAATCCCAGTGGCTCAGGAGGCTGAGGCAGGAGGATCACAAGTTCAAGGTCAGCCTCAGCAATTTAGTAAAGCCCTAAGCAATTTACTGAGACCCTGTCTCAAAAAGAGGGCTGGAATGTGGCTCAGTGGTTGAGTGACCCTGGGTTCAATCCCTGGTACCAGAAAAAAAAAAAAAAGAAGAAGAAGAAGAAGGAGAAGGAGAAGGAGAAGAAGAAGAAAGAAGGAGAAGGAAGAGGAGGAGGGGGGAGGGGAGGAGGGGGAGGAGGAGGAGGAGGGGAAAGAATTGTCAGGTCAGGGGGGGTCTTCCTAGAGATGAATTTTGAATCATGTTTGGGAAGAGGGGTAAGATATGAGTGGTGGAGAACCTGATCAAAGTTGGAGTGAAGATATACAGAGAGATAGAGTTCTGTCTGCAAAGATAGAGCAGAGACTTAGAGAGATACAGACATAAACACTTTGTAGAAATGCAGTGAGAGGGAATATAATGACGGCCAACTTAGACTTCTTCCATGCGTCACCCATATGCATATAAAAATAAGCATGCAAGACATCTTGGGATATACACAATATATTCCAAACCCACTTGTAACCCTTCATTACTCTGCCTCCCCTTCACAATGCCTCACCAGGCCACCAATATTGCTTGGGCAGTCTTTGTTTCTCGTCCTTCCCGCCGGCTGAGGTTCCTGGCTGCTTTCACCACTTCTTCCTTGGTTCGGAAATCTCCCAGGGACCACTCATGTACAGGACTTTCTCCATACTGTACTAGTCCCACCTGAGAATAAAGTGTGTACCCAAATGAAATGTTTTGGGAGAGGAGAGAGGAGGGAGAGAAATACCTGATACTACTGAAGATACCACCTTGCGACTATCTCTTTCCCTCCAAGCCCATCTATGTTGCCTTCTCTTACCTGAATCTGCTCTGGATCAATAAACAATCTTCCTACCAGCCTCCGCAGGAAAGTCTGAACTTCAGACCAGGGGTAGATGCTGTTGGAGCCATCCAAGACAATGACAACATCCATGTAGGTGGGGCAACCTAGGAGGAGGGGTAAGGTGATAGGAAACAAATAAGTAGAGAAATACTGGGCTGGGGTCAACAAGTGAGGGCACAGGAGGTCACAGGAGGACACATTCAACTAAATATTTATTAGGTACCTTCTTATATGCAAGTAAAAAACTGTGCCAGGCCCTGGATAAGTTATAAATGACAAGAGAAGAGGCAGGAATATATACTATTTAGTAAAAAATGGAGGAAAGAAGAAGCCAGGGAGAAACAAAGCACCACTTTGCTGTGAAGAGTGAAGAGGCCTTTTTTCATTCATACTCAGCCCATGCACTTCCACTGAGCTACAGCTCCGGCCCCAGGGAGTGGATTCTGATTGAAAGTCAAATGGGGGAGCAGATAGGAAGGTAATGGGCTGGGGCTGTAGCTCTGTGGAAGAGTGCTTGCTTGCCTGGCCTACAAAAAGAAAAAGGAGAGGAGGAGGGGGAAAAGAAAGAGGAAGAAGAAGATACATGAAGTTTAAAGATGTTTGAGGAGAGGAGAATATAAGGAAAGGCATTTGAATAGAGAACACTTGTAACAAGGGGAAACAGAGGTGCGTGAAGAGAGATGACACATAGAGAGTGGTGAGAGGAATGCTATGGTCAAGGCCCAGGGTATATGAAGGTGTAAGTTGGGTTTTTGAAATTAGTTAGACCAGATCACCAAGTCTTTATGCCTTGGTAAGGAATCCAACTCTAATCTGTTAGGAAACAAGGAGCTTTTGCAGGTACATTAAGTAGCAATGAGGATGGCCAAGCAGAACCTCTGCCAGACATCAGAGCTTTTTGCCCCATCTTTCCCCCACCCAGCTTCCCATTCTGGGAACTGAGTTTTTAGGCTCTTCCTCCAGCTCACGTTGGGCAGTGGGTGCCAGGCTTCCCTGGGGCTGGAATGAAGCATCCACACGAGCACATATTCCAGAACTGAAGACAGAGCTGCCACAAGCACGAGACCAGAGCGGGGCACAGGCCTGGGGACAGTCAGGGGAAACAGTTACTCCCATGTTTGAAGAGTACCCTCAGAACATGCTCCCACACACTGAGCCTACTCCCTGGGAGGCCCTACCTTTCTTTCTAGCTTTAACTCCTTGACCCCTCCACATGGACTAGTTTCCTTTACCACAATGTTCTTTTGTTTTCTACCACAAACCTTCCGAGACCCTGCCACCATCCTTTCCTTAGCTCACCATGAATCCCCCATCATCATCTGTCTCTAACAGAGACATGCCCAGGTGCATATTCACAGCAGGATGAGATGAATTTCCCAGTTGATAATCACCTGGTTGGAGGGGAGTGGAAGAGAATGAGATCATGAGGTCACAGATGGCATGACTGAGTTCAAGGTGGCTTTAGAAGAGAATGTGAAGGGGAGAGGGCATGTGTGGATTATGGAGGTGAAGAAGCTAACAAGGGGTCAAAGATACTAGGGTGTCAAAGGGTTAGGAGGGGAAGGGTCAGGCATCTTCTTACCCAAGTGGCCCTTGGCACATGGGGCATTGTGGGGCCCCCCTACAGGGCAGCGATAAACGTCCCCCCTCCGGTCACCTGAAGGCCCATCCCAAGGAGCGCCCACCAGCATCCTGGGAGGAGGATGTGAGTATAAGCATAGGGTGAACATGACCCTTATCAGAGGTCAGAGGGAAAGTACATTGAGGTGGCAAGTTTAGAGCCCCAGTCACTTTGCAAAAACCAGACAAACCCGGAATCCCATCTATTTTGCCTCCCCTTTATTGGCGCTATCACAGTCCCAATCCCATCGCTCTCTGGTTTCCTCCTCACCATCTCTGTCCACCCCCAATGTGTTGTAAGACACTGTATCCAAATTCAGCCTCAGGTGGCCCTGCGAATAGGCGTGGGTGATGCACATCCAGATTAAAAGGGGAGCAGAGACCTGTTGGGCCAGGATCATAGAATTAACATGAAATGGTCAGTCATGACTGGGATGCACAGCCAGAGAGAAACCATGAGGTAGCATCTGAATCTCAATCTTTCTGCCTTCTTCTTACTCATAAGCTCTCCTGGACTCTGTCAATGTCATAGATTCAGAGTCTCCAAAGGAATGCTCCCTTCCCGTGTTTGGGTCCTGTGGCTCTCGGCCATGATGATGCACAACTGTATTTCCATTTCCACTCCTGAAATCTCATTCACAGATGTGTCTGGAAAGGTCACATTACTCTTTTTCATATCATTCCTCCTACACATCTTCCTCTCCAAACTGTGAGGGTCAAAAGAGGGAGAGGACCTTTCTACAACCCCAGAACAACCATTTCTTCCAAAATCCCCCCAAACTCAGGACCATAGGCAGAACAAAAGCAATATAAAGTGCATTGTGTGTCTGGGTCTCTCCTCTCTCTTTTTGACTCCCAGTGACACTGTCACACTCTCTCTTTCTCCAATGTCTAGGTTGCTGGTGGTTCCAGCCCTGGAAACCTCAGTGGTAATTAACCGGGTGGGGCCACCCGCCTGCCCACACAGTTTGCCATCCATCCTTGCCAACGAACCCATTACCCCAAAGTTTCCCTTAATCTGCTTTCTTTTTATCTCATTCAACTGCCCCTTGCCTACCTCCATGGCTTCCTCAAACTTCCACACACTCTAAAGGCCCCCAGTCATGTCCTTGCTGAGTCTTTCCTTCTGACCCCAATCCCTTTAAAATCAGAGCTGGTATTTCAGGAAACAAAGATTATAGGGCACTATCAAGGAAAAATCCAGTTCTCTTGTCCCTCCCATGTTGCTCTTCCCAACTGGGTCTTACTCCTTACTTTCAAGCAACCCCCTCCCAGGCTACCCCACCACCAACACTACCAATGACCACAGATAGTTCTAACCCAAACCATGCTTACTTTCAGAAAGGTGTTTTGTATGTGAACCTTTTGCATCCAGGAAATTGGCAGGGCTGTATGATCAGGGACTATGGATCATGGGTTAGATAAACCCAGAGTTCTGACCACATAGTCAGGCAGTTATGTTTCAAGCCCCATGTACTACCAAGCATAGGGAGAAGGAGGGAGGGAAATAATAGGAATCAGACTAGCCACGTGGAAGGTCACATCATGTTGCTTTTCCGTCTCCTCACTCCCACAGGGTTAAGGAAAGGTTTTAGATAATTAAGTACAAATCTTTGGCAAGGCCCTAGTCAACTTCAGCCTCTGCTAATCTCAATATCAAAGCAGTCGCCTGTGGGAATACACACATGGAATACTGAATCCTATTAACCTCCTACCCTAACTCCCAAAGAACTTTTATACCCCAATTGACCCAATTTCATACAATTCATACATCTTTCATTCCCACCAGAAACCAAGAAGTTAACGTCCCTCACCTGTCAGGAACATCAGGGGCAAGAACAGGTGAGGGAAGACGGGGAGCTCCATGCCTGGTTGTTCTGTCCTGTGTCAGAAGTCCTCTGTGCTTCTGTCTTTCTCCTTTTCTGCTACTTTCCCTCCTATCCTGCCCCCTCCCACTGGTAGCTAAAAATAAAGTTGGAAGGAATGGGAGGAGTGATGGTGGGAAACTGTGGGGAGCCCCAGACCAAGGAGGCCTAACTAAATTGGTTTATTTCTCTGTCTTCGTGCTGCCCCCTGGAGGCCTCCTTCCAATATCCAAAGAGAAAACAATTTTTGACCATTTCTGCCACTTCACTTTTATTCTACTCCTTTTATTTGTTGACAGGTCAATAACGCTTTCTTCAGATTTAGAACAGGAAGTAGGTAGGGGTGGGAGACAGATTATTTTCATCCCCTATTTATCTCAACCTAGGATATGCAATACCAAAGAGAAGTGGTACCATTTACCCACCCACCCAGGAGAGTCCCAGTGTGTGAAGGCACAGACCCCAAATCAAGTCTTACCAATCTCATTCCACTTAGTTCTGTTCATGGATTTTAGCCTGTGCTGCCTTGTAGGGCTATAGTTTTTGGAGGGACTATAACTATGAACTGGTAATGATGTGTGTTTTGAGGAGCCAGAGTAATTACTTTAGCTAAGACCACTTCTCCCCCAACTCTTCAAGCTATAAACATAAGCTATAAACATCTCAAAGAACTGTGGCACTACGGAGCTTCTTAGCTTTTGACATGTTCACTACCCAGTATTTTGCCCTGCATACTATAGGTGCTCAATAAAAATATGTGGGTAGTGATGGTTGTGGCCAATTCCATGGAAAATCCAAACCACAGTGACAGGAATAGGGGCCACTGAGTGACCAGAACATGAGGGAGCAGACCAAATGTCAATGAGCAAACTGATCTTTAATTTGCTGACCTCGAAGGCTTGCTCTTCACTGTGGGCATGGGCAATGGCTATTTACAAAGATCATTGTACAGTATTTACAACAAGATGCTAGACACAGCATCCATTTGGATAGGCAAAGATGGGGTAAGACGCAGCTGGGGAACATAACTCTGAAATCAAGTGCAAGCAGAAATCTGAAGGTGTGGATACAGAGAATCATAATGGAGGTTGGTGAGGTAGATACGAGGGAGGAAGAAAAATTATCAACCTGTGGTACAGAGATAGGAGAAAACACTGGAACATAAAAATTATGACTTTGAGTTTAAAGGAGAAAACCTGCTATGAGCTACCTCTCTGAGAATAAAAAGGCAGTTAGAACCTTTCAAACCAAATCTTAAACTTCCCCTACCAAAAAGCAATCCCATTTTAAATTTCTGGACAGAGGTCTGAGAAGGTAAAAAAGATACACAGAGATAGACTCTTAAATTGACTTAAGATTGATAAATTACATCAAAAGAGACACAGACAATGAAAAAAATAAAAGAATAAAACCTCAGGCATAGCTGTGTATTAGAATCATTCTATTGGCAAGTCATCTGTCCTCACCTCATCTTCCCCAAAGTTCCTTCCTTCACCCCCAAATCTCTGGATTTTAATTTCAATTAAGGAGTAGAATTGGAATGAGGATGGTACAGGTGGTGGGGGGGATGCAATCTAAAATTCCACCTCACTAGTTTAGTTCCCCTCCTTATCGTATACCAGAACATCAGGGCTTGAGTCGTAGCCAGGGGCAGATTAGGGTGAGAATAGACAGGATGGAGGACACAAGACCACAAAGCCCCACAACCCCAGGGCCACAACGCCAGAGGCCTAGTTTGTCCAGTGGAATGAAGAGATCGCAGGCATTTCTGACCACATCCAGCAGAAGAGGGGGATGCCCACGAAGGACCCGAGCCAGGAGCAGGACCCGGAGCCGAAGCTTCAGAGCCAGTTGGGGCAGGCCTCCTCCTGGAGTCCCTGGGCCCCCAGGTCCCCCAGGTTCAATTCCTCCTGGGACTCCTCCTCCTCCAGAACCCTTCATTCGCCGGCTACCAGCTGAAGACTCTTGTTCCATCAATAAGCGAATCTCATAAGCATCACGGCTCAAATTCATGATGAGAGAAAACAGATAGTACCTGAGATACACAGGGCAGAAAGTCAGAAGGGCATGCAGACCTACTTAACATGTCCAACACACAAACATTTACTTCTCATGTAGAGCAAAGGGATTATACATTAGAATATCAGAAGTGAATGTTATCATCTACTATTAGAAATGTCCTCCCTTCAGGATATTATGCTGATTGAAATAGCTAGACACAGAAAGATAAATACCACATGATCTCACATACATGTGGAAACTAAACAGTCTAATTCATAGAAGCACAGAATAGAATGACAGTTGCTAGAGGTTTAGGGGTAGAGGAAATGGGAAGATGTTTGTCAAAGAGTATAGAGTTTCCGTTATGCAAGCTGAGTAAGTTCTGGAGCTCTAACATATAGCATGGGAACTATAGTCAACAATATTGTTTTATATATTTAAAATTTGTTAAGAAGGTTTACTTTTCCTTTTTGATACTGGGAATTGAACCCAGAGGAGTTTTACCACTGAGCTACATCCCCAGCCTTTTAATTTTTTATTTTGAGACAGGGTCTTTCTTTGCCAAGGCTGGCCTCAAACTTGTGATGTTCCTGCCTCAGCCTCCTGAGTTGTTGTTGGGATTACAAGCATGTACCACCATGCCCAGCTAAGAAAGTAGATCTTAAGTGTTTTCACTATTGGAAAAAAAAAAAGGTCACTATGAGGTAATGAAGAATATGTTAACTAGACTATTGTGGTGATCATTTCACAATGTACAATACCAAACATCACGCTGTACACCTTAAATGTATACAACTTACATTTGTCAAGTATATCCCAATAAGAATAAGAAAAGAAAAAGTCCTCCTACCTTTCTATAACCAATAAGTGTTTGTGTGCACCTTAAGATTCAGTCTTAAAATTCATTATCATGAAATCTTTAAAGGTCAACCTGAAATTACACTTTTAAGGCAACCCCTTAGCCTATACTATATTCAACTTTTGTCCCATAATAATGCAAACTTAGGCTGGGTGCAGTGACACATGCCTGTAATCCCAGTGGCTCAGGAGGCTGAGGCAGGAGGATAATGAGTTTAAAACCAGCCTCAGCAATTCAGTGAGGCTCTAAGCCACTCAGCAAGACCTTATTTCTAAATATAAAAAAGGGTTGAGAAGGGGGCTGGGATTGTGGCTCAGCGGTAGAGTGTCCCCCTAGCACGGGTGGGACCCAGGTTCGATCCTCAGCACCATATAAAAATAAAGGCATTGTGTTGTATCCATCTATACCTAAAAAATAAATATTTTTTAAAAAGGTTGGGAATATGGCTCAGTGGTTAAGCACCACTGGGTTCAATCCCTGGTATGTATGTATGTATAAATAAATAAAGCAAGCAAGCAAGCAACAAACTTGTTTTCAAAGAACAAACTTTAGTTACTGGAGAGACACATACATATTATAGATCAGCTAAATCCAGTTCTTTTTTAAAAAAATGTTTAAAAAGAGGCCTAAAGGTTTTAAGTAATTGCCAAATGTGTTAAGATCATAAATTCCTTAAGTACAAAATTTGTTTTTGATTGTTAACCCACTCTGACAACATTGGTCTGTACTCAACAAATCATCCTACCTCCAAAATATATCCTGAATTTAATAACACTGCTTTAATCTTTTGACTAGTCTCTCTATAGCCATTTGCCCTACAACAATTTCATTTCATAAAGTAGTTAGCATAAATATAAATCACATCACTACTCCTGTTCTTAAAACGTTCCACAATTTCCTTCCTATCACATTTACAATAAAATTTAGATACCTTAAACAGGCTTCCAGACTCAACATATCTGGCCTCTGCCTCTCTTGAACCATTCTTTCCTCAATCACTATGTTCCAACTATGTTGGTTTCCTTCTATATTTCGATCCCATCCAGATTATTGCCGTCTTAGTGCCTTTGTATTATCTACTTCCTGTACCTGGAATCTTCTCTCTTGAAAAACTTCACATGGCTGACTCATTTTTGCTCTTCGGGTCTGAGCGTAAATGTTATATCTTCAGCGAGGGTTTCCTTGACCTTCAGTCTAAAGCAGTGAGCCATTTACTATCTACCACATGATTCTATTTCAATTTTCTTCATAACACTTGCCATTATCTGATATTCTTCTTATTGTCTGATCTGTCTCCCTTATTACACTGTACATTCCATAGGAAGGAGGACCTTGTTTGTCTTTAACCACTTTATCCCCGTTTCTAGACCAGTGCATGCAATATAATATGAGCTTAATAAATATTTGTTGAATAAAATGAATAAATATAGCATATACACTCTTCTAGGGAGTTGCCTTTCAATATCATTCCAGTAATGTCTCCACTCTCACCATCATAAACCATTTTGGAGTTGTGACTCACTGAGAAAGATTAAAAGCAAGGCGGAAACAGAGATGGAAAGATGCTGATATAATGAATAAGAAAAGAAAAAGTCCCCCTACAAAAGACAAATAGAGATGATATGTACAGTTATCCCTCAGAATCTGAAGGGAATTTGTTCTTGAACCCTTATCCCTACAGATACCAAAATCTGCACAAGTTTAAGTTTCTTATGTAAAATGTATGCATAGTATTTGCGTATAACCTATGCACAATCTCTTGTACACTTTAAATCATCTCTAGATTCATTATAATACCTACACAATGCAAATTCTATATAAATAATTATTATACTATATTGAGGAAGAATGGCAAGGAAAAAAGTGCATACATGTTCAAAACAGATGCAATTTTTTCCCCTAATATTTTTTGATCTGTGGTTCGCTGAATCTGTAGATGGGGAATCAACTGTAACAGGAAGAATTTTTTTTTTTTTTTTTTTGGTACCAGGGATTGAACCCAGGAGCACTTAACCAATTTTATTCTCAAATCATATTTCACATCACCCACTTAGTCCATGCCAATATCATTTCTTGCCCACAATTGATCATCTCCTCCCCTTTTGCTTTACTATAATCCATTTTCCACATCACAGCAAGATAGGTGTTCTTGGCCAGGCATGATGGTGCATGCCTGTAATCCTGATGGCTTGGGAGACTGAAGCAGGAGAATTGCAAGTTCAAAGCCAGCATCAGCAACTTAGTAAGGCCCTAAGCAACTCAGAGAGACTTGTCTCAAAATAAAAAATAAAAAAGGGTTGGGGATGTGGCTCAGTGGGTTAAATCCCTGGTAACAACAACAAAATGTTCTTTAAATACAATTCAAGTCATGTCAAATCCCTTTTTTGAATCCTTCAATATGTATGTAGGATAAAATTTAAACAATAACAACAACAACAACAACATCTTACCTCAAAGGCTCTGAATAAGACTGGCTCTTATCTCTCAACTTGAATTTATGCCCTTTACTCAATACTATTCATCATCTAGCTTTTTATTATTTACTACATATGCAATTTTCTGTTTGGAAAGACCTTTTCTGTTGTTTCTTTTGTCTAACTACTATTCAGACTTCAAGTTTGAACTAAAATATTACTTTCTCAAAGAATTCTTCCCTGATCCTTGAATCTAAATCAGCTCCCCTTGATACATTCTCTCATAACACCCTGTACTTTTCCATAAATATAGGTGAGTGGTTGTTTTAAAATGGCTCTCCCATTAGATGGGAAACTTCATGGGAATTGGTACTACATCATGGAAGAGCATGTGTCTTCCATGTGCCCACATTTATTTTTCTCTGACAGTTTAGGATCTAAATGAAGATTTGAAACCAAGTGATTAAGACACATATAACTATCTTTGGTATATAGTTTCCCTTTGGGGAATTGGTTCAGGACACTCCTTGGATACCTAAATCCTACCAAACTCCACAAATGCTCAAGTCCCTTTTATAAGCTGGCATATTATTTTTGTTTTGTTTTGTTAATTTTTAGTTATAAATGATGTACTTTGGGGCTGGGGATGTAGCTCAAGCAGTAGCACGCCTGGCATGCGTGCGGCCTGGGTTCAATCCTCAGCACCACATACAAAGAAAGATGTTGTGTCTGTCGAAAACTAAAAAAATAAATATTAAAAATTCTCTGGGCTGGGGATGTGGCTCAAGCGGTAGCGCGCTCGCCTGCCATGCGTGCGGCCCGGGTTCGATCCTCAGCACCACATACAAACAAAGATGTTGTGTCTGCCGAGAACTGAAAAATAAATATTAAAAAAAATTATCTCTCTCTCTCTCTCTCTCTCTCCCCTCTTAAAAAAAAAATTCTCTCTCTTTCTCTCTTAAAAAAATGATGTACTTTGACACATCATACATACATGGAGTATAACTTTCAAGTATTGTAGTTATATGTGATATGGAGTTACAATGGTCATGTATTCATATACAAACATAGGAAAGTTATGTCTGGTTCATTCTACTGTCTTTCCCATTCCCACCTCCCTTCCTTTCCCCTGTTCCTCCATTAAACTGGCATAGTATTTGCATATAACCTATACATATCCTCTCACATACTTTAAATCAACTCTAGATCATTCTCTAATACTTACTACAATGTATATGCTATGTAAAGAGATGCTATACTATATTATTTAAGAAATAATGACAAAAAGACTGTTCAATACAGATGCATTTTCAATCTGTGGTTGGTTGAATTTGTGGAACCCATGGATATGGAGGGACAACTGTGCTCTGGGAAGATCCTGAGAGATTTTTTTTTCTCTTAAAAGGCAAGCTATGTAGTATGGAGGCTACCAAAGGTATTTCAAGAAAAAAGGGTAACAGACCTGAATGAACGCTGGGCCCACTTTTCCTGATCCACATGGGGAGCTAGTCCAGACTTTCCAGCCCATAGGACGTTGTCACAGGCAAAGTACAAGGCGCGATTGAGGTGACTAACAGTGATGCAGAATCTCAGGACAACGTCTGACAGGTGCACAGCTCTTTTGGCTGATTCAAGGGCGTCTGCTGAGTTGCCCAAGCGCAGAACTTGTGGAGATAACAAGGGAACACAAGGATTTGGAAGTGGAGTCAGAAACAAAACACACAACAAAGAGAGCTGAAAGTTGAACAAGTGATAGTAACAACGATTTCTAAAAAGAGCAGAGTAGTTCATTATTCTTTACTTCAAATTTTAGTCCTAGTTTTCTCAGGTTCGCTCTATTCTCTTCAGCCCTCCTTACTTCCTTATGCCTGCTCTCGTCTCAGTTGGGCACATTCAGAGAACAAGTGCAAAGTCAAACGAGGGAGAGGTGCTAAGAAACAGGAGCGGGTCAGTGGGAGAGCAGGTGAGGGCGGAGGCGGGCTCACTTACGCTTCCTTCCGAGGCTCAGATGGCCCTCCAGTTGTCGGATCTGTTTCTGCAGCTCGGGGCTGGCCCCGTGTCTCTGCAGTGCGTGGCCGAGGAGCGCGCAAGCGTACTGGGCGGCCCTGCAGGAGAGGCCAAGTGAGGGGGACCCTCCCGGGGACCCTCCCTCCCCTCCCCGCCAAGCTTCTCCAAACACCGAGGCAGCGCTGCGCGGTCCTCCTCTACACGCCCACGTCTCACCGCGTCTCTCCAGGCAGGGGAGGGACAGATAGAGGACAAGGGTTGGGAAGGGTAATCTGGAGCGTGGGGTCTCGGGCCCTGACGGCCCGGAGGCGCCGGAGGAGCAGGGTCCCGGCGAGCGCGTCCGCCCGGCGTGCACACTCGACGCAGAGGGGCGGAAACCCGACAGCCAGTCTCCTAGGTGGACAAGACGGGTCAGGGTCTCGGCGGAGACCGCGAGGGAGCGGGGCCGAGGCCCCCTAGACAGCACGGTGGGGCACCGGGAGACGGGCGTCTCCTCGGCTCTGGGCAAAAGCCCGGTCGCTGTCCACCGCGGGTGAACGCTCCGCGTCCCACCACGGCCTAGTGGGCAAACTGTTGATCACAGGTGGAAGCAACCCCCCGGGGGCCGCCCCGCTGGCCCACTCATGCCTCAGTTTTCCCATCTTTCCTGTGAGTAGGAGAAGACTCATCTCCTCACAACCAGCTCAAGTCTGTGCCTCACTGTCCGTCCGGGCCCCCGTAGCCGGAGTTGACCCTCTTGGACCCCCGTACCTGCAGTGACCCCCCCCCCCCGCCTCACGATAATGTTCTTCTGCCCACCCTTCCCTATTCCTATTTTGGCCGCACCTACACAGCCGCTCCCGGGCCTGGCTCTGAGCACTGAAGCGGACCCAGGCGTCCATGACAGCGGCAGCCCCGCCTCCACCGTCCTCTCCCGCCCTAATCCCAGCACCCAGTCACGCCTCCTAGGCGATCCCACGGTGCCTCGCGAGGGACACACAGCATCAGCGAGACAGCGAATGGAGCCGGCCCTGGAACGGAATTTCAGGGCGCCAGCGTTGATCTCGTGGCCGACACTTCCGTGTGGTGGTGCTTCTCGGTCAGCGGACCCCTTATGGGATGGTCTCTATCCCTTAAACACGCCTCCAGCAGCACCTCGAGATCTAAGTGTTCAGGACCAAGGCCGGGGCCTGGAGGCCCGCAGGCGGGACGGGAAAGGCGCCGCAGCGTGCGCGCCCTGGCCGCGGGATGGAAGTCGCGGCGGGCGGACTCCGCGGACCGCCCCACGCGCGCACACTGCCGCGTGCACGCGACGCTCCAGCCGAGTCCAGCAGTCTAGGCGCTACAGAGGTCTTGGCAGTACGAGGTCCTGACTGATCGAACTGTCCAAGTGGGAAAGGGCGTGATTAGCACCAGGTTCTTGGTGTCCTCCAGCACAGATAGAGCGTCTCAAGGGACAGAGCCTTTAGTGGACGACATCCGCAGTAGCCCTCTTCAGGTCCTGAAAAGGCGAGCGAAGAATCAGCCAGCGACCAGAGCTCACTGCTGCAGACCCCACTTCCTCCTCCCCAGCCTTCCCTTCCAGGCCACCATGTCTGCTGGCAATGGCACCCCTCGCGGGTCAGCAGTGGGGGAGGAGATATGGGCGGGATCAGGAGTGGAGCTGGAAGACTCAGAGCTACCCACTTTCTCAGCTGCAGCCAAGGTCCGAGTGGGGGTCACCGTTGTGCTCTTTGTTTCTTCAGCTGGCGGTAACTTGGCCGTGCTGTGGTCTGTGACACGGCGGCAATCCAGCCAGCGCCGACCCTCCCCCGTCCGGCGACTCTTCGCCCATTTGGCAGCTGCCGACTTGCTGGTCACTTTTGTGGTTATGCCCCTAGATGCTACCTGGAATATTACCGTTCAGTGGCTGGCTGGGGACATCGCATGTCGGACACTTATGTTCCTGAAACTAATGGCCATGTATGCTGCAGCTTTCCTGCCTGTAGTCATAGGACTTGACCGCCAGGCAGCAGTACTCAACCCGCTTGGACCCCGCTCAGGTGCAAAGAAACTTCTGGGAATAGCCTGGGGACTTAGTTTCCTGCTTGCCTTGCCCCAGGTGAGTGACTTGGGAATCGGGGCTGGGCCGGACGAGAATTTGATTACATTTTATGAGCCTTGGGTGTCAAAAAAGAGTGCCATTGGCCACATTAGCCATTAATCTTCCTTGGGGGAGCCTCTTATCTCTTGGGCAAGTTAAGATCGTTTGCACGTTAATTTACATCTGGTAAAAGCCTACTTTTGAAAAGCACTACCCCATTATAGGGGCCTCTTCCTTTAGGTTTGCTTTACTGAGCATGGCTTCCACCTCTGTGCAGCTTACCGTTTCCACCTCCTTCAGGAGATTGGTGCAGAAAAACTCTAGGGCAGGGAGGAAACATGGGAATCTACCAAGAGGAGGGAAGTCAGGGGCTTTGGGTAAAACTTGGAGATATTCATTCACAGATTCAAAAAAATACATGTCATCTCTTGATACTCAAATGCTAAGGATATAGCAACAAAAGTCCTGTCTTCAGAAAACTTATAGCCCGATGTGATGGAACATGCTTGTAATCCCAATGACTCAGGAGGTAGAGGCAGGAGGATCAGAATTTCAAGGCCAGCCTCAGCAATTTAGCAAGACCCTGGCTCAAATTAAAAGAAATAAAAGCACTGGGGATGTAGCTCAGTGGTAAAGCCCCGGGGTTCAATCCTCAGGACCAAAAAGATAGATAGATAGATAGAAAGATAGATAGATAGATAGATAGATAGAGACTCATGCAGGAGACAAATTGGGCTATTACACTAGAGTGTACAGTCAAAAGTGTTATGCTAAAGGTAAAGAGTTAAAGAACAATGACGAGTGTCTGACCAACTTTTGCAGTCTGAAAAATTTAATTCTTGAAAAATAGAAAGGTATTAAACAGGTTAAAAAAAAGGAAAAATGCTGAAGATGGAGGGTGGAGGATCCCAAGAGGTTGCTACTCAGGGAAGTACTAAATTCATATTTTATTCTGAGAGCAGTGGAAACACTAAGGTAAAAGAAGAATGACATAATCGGTTTTGTAATTTTTTACTCTGGCTTTACTATAGAATGGGTGTTAAAACTGTAAACAGGGGAGCATCCAAATTTGAGTACTGGTTAATCCAATCTCAATTCTGTAGAAATCTAGAAAAAAGCTAAATGTTGAGCAATTCCTTCAAAACAAAAACCACTAACCAAGAGACTGTAGAATTAGGACTATGTCAGGAGACCGAAAAGGGTCTATGACTTCACTCTGTGGAATAATGCATTATAGTCGGATTTAAGGTTTGATGTTTAAATTCTCAAATATTAGAAATTTAACTATCAAAAGTCTGAGTACAGTACTAAAGGACACACACGCAGGCGCGCGGGCACACACACAATCTTCCAATGATGTTTCAAACAGGATCTTTACCACCCCAAACAATAAGAAGCCTGCAGGCTAGGAATATAGCTCAGTGGTAGATTGCCTGCTTTACATGCTAAACATAATAGGTTCACTCCCTGGCACCACACAGAGAATTAAGAGGCCTGTTGCCACAGGGCAATAGAAATTGGGTTTGTTTAAATAAAAGTTTAGATGTGGGGGATGACTGTTATTATTGTATTGTTTGACTCTTTTACTTTGCTTTTTTTCCCCTCCCAAGTCTAGGCTCTACCACTACCTACCTTATGCCTTTGGCTGAATCCCTTGAAAATCCATGCTGGCACAAGATGATGTAATAGTAAATGAATTTAATTCTTTTTTGAAGTTTGGCAATCTGATAATTGCAATCTTTGTTTCAATGGCAAATTTGTAGTGACATATATATATGTATGTAATGTATGTATGTGTATGTGTATATATATATATATATATATATATATATATATATATATGATGATTAGTCTTTTGAATAAATTCTGTACTGTCCATATCTTGGTATTTAAAATATTAGTTTCCCTAAAAAATTATAGTGTGATGTAAGAGTAGAGAGGGAGTATTAGGGATAGCTAGAACTTCCTTTTTTTTTCAGGCTCAGAGTTCCAAGTTTTAAGTAGTTGAAAGGAATATTTCTATTGTAGGTGGTAAGTTAACATATAAAATATAAAAAAGGGGAGAAGCAAGGCTATGGACCAAACTTGTAAATTTCAAGGGCTTTGACTATTTTTATAGTCCTTCTCATAATTCTCAAAGTTCCTCATGTTTGCTGAACTCACTTTCCTAAAAAAAAGGCTGAGTATCTAGGAATCCGACACCTACTGGGCTTACCTCTTATCAAACAATGACTCAATTTACATTACTAGAACAAAGGTATTCTAACCCTGCAACTGTAAACTGAAAAATATTCAGTTCAATGATTCAACCCAAACCCCAGCAACTTACCAAAGGGAGGAGGGGCAGTCAATAGGATTTGGAAAATATTAAACTGCCAAGGCAGGAGGATCACAAGTTCAAAAACAGCCTCAGCAACTTAGTGAGGCCTTTGCAGAATAAAAAACAAAAAAGGGCTGGGCATGTTGCTCAGTGGTTAAGTACCCCCGATACCAAAAAAGAAAAAAAAAAATTTACCACAAATGTAGCAGAAAGCCATGAGGGTAAAATGGTGGTGTTACCATTCTTTCATAAAGTGCAGTGTTAAGCTAGTATTTGAAAAGGCAGGATTCTCTTAAGTTCCAGGATTTTAACAAGTTGCATGCTAAGCACCCTATTCAAGCTTAAGGGAGACAGGCATTTTCAAGATACATTTCTCACCATTTTAAAGTGGTATGATGGATGAACTACTACCCAGTGCTGTACTATTCCTCCTGGAATTAATAACGATTAATTGGGAGGAGCTATTGTGACACAGGTGAGTAGGTTGGATTGTTTGGGAACCAGTTCTAATAGTCTCAACTTCATTCCAGCTGTTCCTGTTCCATACTGTCCGCCGAGCTGGCCCAGTCCCCTTCACTCAGTGTGTCACCAAAGGCAGCTTCAAGGCTCAATGGCAAGAGACCACCTATAACCTCTTCACCTTCTGCTGCCTCTTTCTGCTGCCACTAACTGCCATGGCCATCTGTTATAGCCGCATTGTCCTCAGTGTGTCCAGTCCACGAACCAGAAAGGGGAGCCAGGGTGAGACCAATTCCCAGGCCCTAGTCCTATGCCCAGAACTGTTGCCTCTAGCTTCATTTATTTATCTACCTAACAGCTGTATATCAGCCACTAAACCAAAGTAAGATGCTAACCATATCTCTAGCACCTGACACTGGAGATAAGCTTTATTGAATGCCTTCAATTCTAAACTGCCTCTAATTCAGTTGAGTAAACTAGGCAGAAATTAGAGAAAAAGATCATCAGTGTTCTTTATTATTTAACATCCTCAAGTCGACCTGTAGACCTGGTAGCTTCACCTAACAGCATCTCAAACCAAAACCTCTCACGAAAACAATCTAATCTCTCACCATCATAGTGGCAAATGCCTGTAATCCCAGCTACTAAGACAAGTTTGAGGCCAGCTTGGCCAATTTAGTGAGACCCTGTCTTAAAATATAATTTACAAGAAGGTCTGGGTATGTATTTCTGTGATTAAAGTACTTTCCTAGTATGCAGGAAGCTCTAGATTCAATCCCCATATCACAAACAAAAACACCTTTTCTCAAGCATGTCTGTCATGTCTAGAAGGTGATCAGATAGTGCCAGGTTGGGGAGGGTAAAAGGTTTTACATCATTCTCTTCCTTGGTTGTGAGGGTTCCATTTCACTGACTGCCCTTCCATCAATTCACCCTACACTCAGTTCAGAAGCTGAGTAGTTCTGAATTTCAGTATATTTTCTAAATTCCCAGCCCCTGCTGATGAATTTACCCTACGCCGCTCCTTAGACACTCGCCCCCGTGTTCGTCTTCGGGCCCTGCGACTGGCCCTCCTTGTTTTACTGACCTTCATCCTCTGCTGGACACCTTATTACCTACTGGGTCTGTGGTACTGGTTCTCCCCCACCATGCTAACCGAAGTCCCTCCCAGCCTCAGCCATATCCTTTTCCTCTTTGGCCTTCTCAATGCTCCTTTGGATCCTCTCCTCTATGGAGCCTTCACCCTCGGCTGCCGGAGAGGGCACCAAACACTCAGTAAAGACTCCTCCCAGGAAGGAGGGTCTGGGAGAATGCCCCAACACGAGAGTAAAACCCTCAGACAGCTGAAAATGCAAACAAATGTGACATCAAGAAGAGGAGAAACAAAAGAGACATTCCTATAACATCCATTTTCTTACAACGGAGTATAAAGAATAGTCATTACTCTCCAATACCCTAAGAACATCTCTGCTGCCCCTGCTTTTTTAGCTTCCAACAAAAGAAGTGCTGAGAAGATCTGTGTTTTGACCTGAGACTTGAGACTATGTCTAAAGCAGAAACTCACAGAATTCAATCCTTAATAGAAGTATCTCCACAATGACCCATATTGCCTTACTGTAAATAGTTCATCAGAGCTTCACTACTAGAACATGAAAGTAATTTTAAATGTAGAAAACCAAAAACTAAAAAGGGACATTTATTCATGACTCAAAAGAAACAGTAAACAGGATAACAGTTTAAATATAAACAGAGTGAGTTCCACTTCAGCCCTATTTGTTGACGGCTTGCATAGCCAAATGGAATCTTGGAGAGACCACCTGGACAAGAGAGGAACTGTCAACGACGTCTCCGGTCTGGACTCCTGCTGCGCCTTCGGCCACCTCTAGGAAAAAAGAGGAAGGCAGGGAATTCATCATAGGATATAATAAAATGTCCTTGTTCAGTTTTATTCATGTTCCCTTCACCAACAGTGTTTGCCCTCTCCATTTTACCTTCTCTTGCCTTTGGGTGGACCTCGAACAAAACACCAATCTACGCTGATCTGCTGTCCCATCAAATCCTGGCCATTGAGTCCTTCCATAGCAGCCTGAGCCTCTTTGTATGTTTCATATTCAACTAGAGTATAACCCTGAGTAAGTGAAAAGTAAGATGTTAAAACCTTCCTGTTTCACCAAGCATCAAGTATCCTCATCCTCAAATATAAATTCATACTTAAACAGAAGAATCTAAAAGCTTTACACAATGACTGTACATCGTATGTCCCTACTGTACACAGGTGTCTGTTTTGTTTGTCTCCGTCTCTTTGTCCAACAAAATCAATTTCCTATGTCATTTTATTTGAATCGCAGCAAACAGAACCACCAAGGCTAAGGGGAAAGGAAGGCAATAAAGGGTCGCTTAAGATACCTTCAGGTATCCTGTGCGCCTATCCAGGTTAAGGTGGATGTTTTTTATTTCGCCATATTCTGCAAATTTGTCATGAATGTCTTCTTCAGTGGCTTCCTCATGGACTCCAGTGACAAAGAGAATCCAGCCTTCAACAGCTGTTGGGGAAGAAAGGGTGGCTGTATGCGCGCCTGGGACTGGGGAAAGCAGTAAGTGCAGACTCCGGAGTGAGTCTCATGTCGGGGAGCTCGGGTTTCAACTGCCCACAGACACGCTCTCCGCAGGCTCCACCTTACTCACAGCGTTGTGGTCCCGGCTCGTCGCCGTCCTGCTCCACACTGTCATAATCCTCTCGCATCCGCGCTCGGGACCCCTCTTCTATAGAGAACACAACCAGATCACCGGAGGCTCTCCCCGGAGTCCGGGGGCTCCAACTCCGCTCCCGCCGACAAGCCTCTCGACCTCAAGTCCCCACACTCACCTGAACCAAAGCCGCGGCCCTTCCTTTTCTTCGCTTTTTCTTTAAGTTTGTGGATACTCTCTGAAGCCCCAGAGGAGAAAGGATGGGTAACAGTCATTTATGACAACTGTATCCCACCACGCCGAGAGCCTAAGCCGCCGCCAGGCTGTCCCCTCCCGGCCCGGCCCGGCCCGGCCCGTTCCTTCCGAAGGGGGAGGAGTCTCTCACCGAGACCGCACTCCCCGCTCCCATCCGTCCGCCCCAGGACCTTTTTCCTGTTACACTCTTCTCTCGCACCTTCCCCGCTTCCCGTAGCCGCCTCCACTGTCCTCACCGTCCCCATCCTCATCCATGGCGAAATCCTCGCCTCCGGCCTCATGAAGATCCAGCACGTCAGCCATCTTGCCTCTGTACTAGCGCTCGTCCGGACCGCCGGGAACTAGGCACCTCGGCAGGCTGTCGCAGAGGGGAAAGGTCGCCAAGCTGACCAATCACAGCCCATCTTTAAGTCCCGCCCTCGGCGCGGTAAAAATACGCACGAAGGGCGGGCCTAGTTCAAAAAGATGCCGGAAGCATTTGGTAGCCATCTTGGCAGGTCACGAGCCGAGACCAGCTGCGTTGGCAGGGACAAACTAGGAGGCGTCAATGGCTTCCGTTTAATCTTGAGACCGGGCCTAATTCCTTGCTGAAGGGCAGCTTTCATTGCAAAGTAGGAAATGGAAGAATTTAAAAGTTTTTTTATCTTAAAAGTTGTAGGCCTGTACCCTGTTCTGAGAAGCACCCCATCCATGATAGAAGCCTTAAAAAGAAAAGAGACGAGGTTCAGATCAGGGCTGGGGAGGTAGCTCGGCGGTAGCGCGCTGGCCTAGCAGGTGCGGGACCCGGGAATTACATCCCACCCCGCAGAAAAAGTTTAGCTGCCCCAGGCCGGAGGCTGAGGCTGGAGGATCACAAGTTGGGACCCAGCTTCAGCAACTTAGCGGGGCCCTGAACAACTCGGTGAAACCCTGTCTCTAAGTAAGTCATAAAAAGGGCTGGGGATGGGGCTCAGTGGCTAAACGGCCCTGGGTTCGTCCCTGGACCAACAACAACAACAACAACAAAAAAAAAAAAAAACAGAAACAAAACACCTCCCAGAACGGACCGCCAGCCCCGAATTTCTTCCCAAGAAAACCAACACACAAGGCTGCGGTTGAAACCCGGCTGTAGGGGATGAAACCAGGGGCACTTTACCACTGAAATACCTCCTCAGACCCCTTTTTACTTTTTATTTGGAGACAGATCTTGCTAAATTGCTGAGGCCATCCGCATACTTAATCCTCCTGCCAGCCTCCGGAGTCTCTGGGATTACAGTAGTGGGCTAACCGTGCCTGGATAATTTTTTTTTTTTTTAGGATATATCTTTCAAACGCTCCCTGCCACCCTCTGGAAATTAAGGAAGGAAAGGCATGGCCTTAAATAAAATAATGGCTTTAGTTCTTTGATGATGGAACAGGTGTTCTACCTTCAAACACCTAGGAGTTGAAGTAAAACCTATATTGCCCCCAAGTTCTGGAATCCTTATGTACACCTTCAGCAATAGCAGGCTGCAGATTCACTTATTAATCAAATAGTTATGCCTATATGTGTATCTAATATTAGAAGAAGTGCTGGCAAGAGGATAAATAATTGCATTGATAGCACTCACTATATATAGTACATTATGAAAGTGATAACTGCTATCATAATGGCAGTATCAAGAACGTTTCTGGAACTAAGAGGGTTTAGCATTTTAACTGGGCCTTTGGAGATGAGTAGTTTTCCAGGAAAAACAGTTGTATACATTACATAGTCTAATCTTTAAAAGTCATCTGGTTACATTCCTACTTTAAAAGTCCTTCCGTTGATTTTGTTGCACTTAGACTAAAATTAAAACTTACATAGCTAACTGTCCCTATGTCTCCAGTTTTGTCACCTGAGATTCTCCCTCACCCACTAAGCCCTTCCTATACTATCCCTTAACTCATCTCTGGGCATTTGCAACTTTCTGTTCCTGATGCTTTTCCTCCAGCCCTTCACATGGCTGGCTCAACCTCATTCTTTAGGTCTGAATACTACTGTCACTAAGGGGTTTTCTCTCTTTTCTTTGTGGTACTGGAATTGAACCCAGGGGTGCTTAACCACTGAGGCGTATCCCCAGCCCTTTTATGTTTTATTTTGAAGAAGGCTCTCACTAAGTTGCTTAGGGCCTAAATAAGTTGCTGAAGCTGGCTTTGAATTTGTGATTCTCCTGCCGTAGCCTCCCAAATTGCTGGGATTACAGGTGTGTGCCACTACACCAGGCACCAAAGGGGTTTTCATCCTTCTAGGACTTAAGTCTGTTTTATTTCCTTCACAGAACTTAAACCAGAATCTTTAATTATCTTGTTGACTTTCAACCTTGTGTATTGCCTCTTTTTTTTCCCCAGTAGCTTGTAATCCTTTTGGCAGAGATGCTTAGAATTATATCTGCAAGTTTATCCCAGTGCCAGGCTCTTAGTGGGTATATGGTACATACTTCATGAATGGATAAATATCAAATGGCAAGGAGAAGGAAAACTGCTGATTGGTAAAGACTACAGAAGGTGGAACCCAGTTCTAACAAATGTCAAACAGCAATAAATTTGGGGGCAGCATTGTTTCTTTTGTTGTTCTCTGCTTGGATCTCTCTCTCTCTCTCTCTCTCTCTCCACTGCCTGACTTAAGTGAATAAGATTTGTCACATTCCTCAGCAAACTACCTATTATCTGTAGGAGAAATGAAGACCCAAAAGAATATGGATGAGAGAGAGAGAGAGAGAGAAGGAGGATGTTCTGTACTTGAATTTTACTTTACTGTCACTTTATTTTCCTTTATAAGAAAATTCTCCTACTGGTTTTTTGTGTCTAACTTTAGATTTCCTCTTGTCAGGACACATCTACAGAGGTTTGGAGCTTCAGGTTCCTACTCTCCTGTGACAATGTCACAGAAAATAACATAATGACCCATTAAGTTTTAGCAAAAAGGAAGAGCATTGTTAGTAAGTGAAAGGTGAAGGTAGACATTCTCAGAGAGTGAGCAGCAGTCTTGGGCTCTTCTTTGAGGGGGAAACTTTGTAAGGTATGAGTACAGGGTGGTGGCCTGTGGATGGTTCTGGCCTGGTGATAACAAGATGGTTTTTGGTGGTCTGGCCATTCTCAGGATCTTCAGGTCGATGTTTCCTTTATCTAATCAATAGATGATGTTGGGAATGTAGCTATGTTATAGGTGTCTTAAAATATTGAATCTCCCTTTATTTATTCTAAAAATACATGTACTAGTATGTTACATAGGCTAAATAACAGTGTCAGAGCAATTTTCATTAAGAATGAATTTACAGTAACTAAGGTTTTTGAGTCAATTTACAGTAACTTTAAGATTTATAGATCTCTTGGGGTTGGTTGGGACTGTGGCTCAGTGGTAGAGCACTTGCCTCATATGTGCAAGGACCTGGGTTCGATCCTCAGCACCACTTAAAAGTAAGTAAATAAAAAAAAGGTATTGTGTCCAACTACAACTAAAAAATAAATACGTTTTTAAAAAAGATTGATTGGGGCTGGGGATGTGGCTCAAGTGGTAGCATGGTTGCTTGGCATGCACATGGCGCTGGGTTTGATCCTCAGCACCACATACAAATAAAGATGCTGTGTCTGCCAAAAACTAAAAAATATTAAATCTTCTCTCTCTCTCTCTCTCTCTCTCTCTCTCTCTCTCTCTCTCTCTGTCAAAAAAAAAAAAAAAATTTATAGGTCTCTCAAAATTGGGAGTTACAAGCCTAAGGGAAAAAACCAGCCTGGGGAGAAAAAAAAATGTCTGAGAAACTTTAGCAAAATGCTTCCAGATTAAAGTTGCAGTCTATTTTTCCTTCCCTTTTGTCCTCTTTCTATCTCTCTTTTATTTCTTTTCATTCCTACCTCACAATAACCTCAGTTCCTTGCTCGGGGCCCCATTTCCTAAGTGTTCCACCACTTAGGATAGCATCACAGGCCAGAGACCCAAGTTTTTAACCCCTGAGCCTTTAGAGACATTTAAGATACAGACCATAACAATTTTCAAGCATTGAGTTGTGTTATTGTTCTTTTAATTTGTGTTATTAGTTTATAGGTTTATTGCATTGTGCATTATGTCTAAGAAATGTCGCTTGTACTGATTTCTGCTTTTTGAAATCATTAGAGGTCTCCTTGTCGCCTAGAATAAGATCGATTTTGAAAAAAAAATCCATTATTTATCATAAAAAAGGTATATCAAGCACCCCCCAATCGAGTTCAATGTTCAGTATATAGTAAAAATTGTTTTTTTAGTGAACATGAACACTAAGTAATTAAATATTAATTTATCTTGTGTATTTATTCAAAGTCTCTCTGTCATTGATTTTTATGATTTTATTTATCAGCCGGTCTCCTACTTTATATTTTGCTTTCTCCCCTAGCCCTTTTCTGAATAAAATAGAGTTAGGGCAGATGTGTTAACATCTTCCATTTTGACTAGAGTTCTGGCATTTTTCTTTGACTTTCAACCATTTGCATTCTAGCATTTTCATGCTGTGTTACACAGGACATAAATATTTATGTGTACTATAATTTCACTGTGGATTGCATTAGTCATCAGTATAATAAACCTCTTTGCCTCCCCCCCCCCAAAGACATTCTGTATGCCTGATGCTATGTGACTGGGAAATAAGTCTGTCTGGAGGCATAGTTTAGGGTCAAATTGCCATACTAAGTATTTTGAAATTTTTCCTATAAACAAATTTCTCTACTTCAAATATTTTTTGAGTACTCATGATTTTTAATATTTGCAGGTAGTCCCTATATTATTTTTGCTTACTATTCTTCCTTAAATAGGCTTTTGTAAACACAAATTTACACCAACAGGAAATTTTAATATTACTTCCATAAGTGAAAACCAATATTTTTCTACTATAAATTCAGATAAAAGCATAATTATTGAAGACTAATAAAAAAATCACCTAAAATCATCTCAGGTAACATAAATGGTTCCCATCTAAAACTTTTGGAAGTATTCCTCAAAGTAAAAACAGCTAAACAATGGTTTAAGGAAATGAATGGCAGTAGTATTTCAGTAAGGAATATCAGAGTAAAGTGAAGGATATTAAGGAACATAAAAACCAACTAGGAAGCTATTGCAGTATCTAGTCCAGATATGACGGTAAATACGGACAAAACAATTTATATAGGAGGTAGACTCCAGAGTAGTGTCTGGCCAGGTGTGGTGGCATGCGCCTGTAATCCCAGCCGTTTGGGAGGCTGAGGCAGGAGGATTATGAGTTCAAAGCCAGCCTCAGCAATTTAGTGAAACCCTAAGCAATTCAGTGAGACCCTGTCTCTAAATAAAATATTTTTTAAAAAAAGGGCTGGGGATGTGGCTCAGTGGCTAAGCACCCCTGGGTTCAAACCCTGGTACCAGAAAAAAAGAGTGGTATCTGATTGAATGATGGACCTAAAGTTTCTAGCTTAGAAAATTAGGTAGATAATAATTCCAATAACAGGTTTAGAACATCAAAGAGGAGCAAGTTTGGAAAAATGGGCTCTACTTTTGATATGTGAGGTCATGGTACTCCCGTCACCACCAGGTAGTGAAGTCCAGTGTGTGGAAATATAGATGTAAAAGCTCAGAACAAGATAGGGTAGAAGAAATGGATTGTAGAATTGTGTGTATAGAGGAGTTTAAAATCACTGTAGTTGTGAGAGAGTGGGAATGAGTAAAGCTGAAGAGAAAGGGCCAAGGACAAACTTCAGGCTCCATTCCAGGCACAGTGACACACGCCTGTAATCCCAGTGGCTAAAGAGCTGAGGCAGGAGGATCAAAAGTTCAAAGCCAGCTTCAGCAATTTACTGAGGCACCAAAGCAACTTAGACCTTGTCTCAAGAATAAAAAGGGTTAGGGATATGGCTTATTAGTTAAGCACCCCTGGGTACAATCCCCAGTACCAAGGAGAAAAAAAAAAAAAATCAGACTCCTTAAATGTCTAGAGAAGGGGAGGCAGAATGCCTTTCCCCTGCAGTGCAATTTTATTTTTACCACTCCCAAAATACTCAGAATTCTTTTTTAATGTGTAAATGAATGGAGCCATTTTAGAGCTTCTCTGATACATGGGTCTCAAGAAAGAGTCATTCTGGCTCACTAGACAAAAATCTATTTTAATTGTATAAAATTATACATATAAAATACATAGAAAGCATTAGAAGATAACTAAAATCTTTGACAACAAAAATGGACAGATAAGGAAACAATTTTTTCTCAAATTCTTTGGAATTTGGGGGTATTTGATAAAAAGAATAAATCTAGGAAGTACAAGGACAATTCTTCCCAAAACTCACACCCTTAACACTTCTTCCCAGAGAAAGGAGCACAGGAGAAACTAGAGGGTTTATGATTGGGGGGGGGGGGTTATAAGTATAAATAAAACCAGATATACCTATTATTTAATGTAGGAGCTCTACTCCAATATTACATGTGTTTCATGGAATATAAAGATGGGGCTTAGAGAATCAAGGAAGCCACTTTCAAGCACTAATAAAATTGTAGCTGGATTCTTTATCTCTGATTCCATATGTACTGGTCACCAAGATGATTCCAAAAGCAAGAAATCTGCCTTTCGTAGATAGAGATTGCTTCCAAGCAAATTAGGAAGTAACCCTATGAGTTGTGTTTATAATTCCTCTTGTATTGATGGGCAATTTCTCAGGAATGATTTAAAAATAATAAACCAGATTTTCACTCCTTTCTGAATAATAGGGTAGGGAACCCTCAAAACAAAGGGTTAGTAGAGACAAAGAAAGAAGTAAGGTAGTGGTGGGGACAGGAGAGGTACCAAGCAGATCCAGCTCAAGATAAACCAAAGCCAAAGATTTCTTACTCATACCCTGTTTGAGACAAGGTGAGGGTGGGGTACATAGGTATACCCGTTATTTTAAAGGGAGACATGAACACTTGATCATATTGTGTTATTGAAATGACCATACAGAATTAATCTGGAAGTGTACAAGCTCTAAAGACAGCCTGCTCTTTCTCAAAGAGTGAATGGAGAGGTTTTAAAATGGAGAGGTCCCCAAACCTGGAAGTTAGAAAAGAGATCTCCTAGCAAATGGGAATCCAGGTGTGGTTTATACATATACATATATATTTTAAAGTATAAAATTGAGTAAGTATGTACAGAAATCATCCTAAGTCTTAGAGAGGAGACATACAAAAAAGGTCCAGGAAAGGAGAGGGAGTATGAAGGTAGATGCCTAGCAGTTGGAAGAATGCATATTGCCCAACTGCCCAGCAGCCAGCATGAGAATATCTTTCTTCTCCTTGTGGAAGCGCAGCTCCTTGCCTGCCAGCCGGGCTTCATCCAATTCCCGTTCAGTGGAGGCCAGCTCTCTAGAAAGTGCCCCTGGCACACTCTGCTCCCGGCTCACCCAGTCCAAGGCCATTTGGTGGCGAATATCGTCATCTAGGGCTCGGTGTGAATAATGAGCCAACACCTCCTGGTTGGAGAGAGGAACTGAAGATCACTGAGAAGATAAAGGTTCATATCATACCACACAGACCCAACTGGGACTAGGTATCTTAGCTTTGGAGTCCTCACCGAAGCAGCACCTAAGGCCCTCCTGGGAGATTTTTAAGGAAAACTTCCTGGTGGAGTGAAGTGGAGAGGGCACTGAAGGCTTTCAGCGTTCGCCACCCGTACCCACAGGCTTGCTTCCCTTACCACAGCAGCAGACCCTGTCCCTCTCACTCGTGAGATCTCTTACCTGCCGAGAGCACTGTCTTTCCCTCATGGCCTTAAGGCTGCCATTCCAGTGCAACAGCTGAAACACTGTCATTAGCTCCTGGGGGAAGAAGATATCTAGTACCAGGACAGTGGTTTTTAAAAAAAAAAAAATTTCCTTTAAAAATTTTTTTCATAGTTGTTGATAGATCTTTATTTTATTTATTTATACATGGTGCTGAGAATCTAACCCAGTACCTCACACATGCCAGGCAAGTGCGCTACTGCCGAGTCACAATCTCAGCCCAGGACAGTGACTCTGATATTGATAGAATCACATGGAAATTTTTTTACAAAATATATTTGTGGAAGCATCTCTAATCACCAACTCTGATATATCCCTGGGGGAAGGAAGTATTTATATTTTGAAAAAAATTCTACTTCCTTTTCCTTCCTTTTTAAAAAGTCTAATTGTAGTAGAGATTAGTAGGAGGCATTATGTGTACATTAGCAGGCTGACCATGTTATTAGAGCCAGGGAAGTAGTGGAATAGTACCTGGAACTCCAACATTGACTTGCCCTTGTTGGATTCTAACATAAATCGGAAGGCACCAATGCCTGTATTTGGGTTGTCAGCTTCCTCCCTGTTGCCCTGGTAACAGAGGAAAAGAAAAGACAAATAGATTTCCAATTGGAATTATCATCTTGAGCAGCACTATCCAACAAAAAAACATGAGCCACATATTTAATTTTAGATTTCACAGTTGCCACATTATAGTAAAAAAATTTTTTTAGTTGTAGATGGACAGGATACCTTTATTTATTTATTTTTATGTGGTGCTGAGGCTCGAACCCAGGGCCTCATGTGTGCTAGGTGAGTGAGTGCTCTACCACTGAGCCAGAACCCCAGCTTCTGTTTTACATTTTTTGAACCAAGTTTTTGAAACATATTTTATACTTAAAATACATCTCAATTCTTATCCAGAGGTACTTTATCATTGAATTACATCCCGGTCCTTTTATTTTAAAAAATTATTCCCAACACATTAAATTGAAGGCCTTAACTGGAAGGGAAAATGTAATCTTTAAAATTAGGCTTTAGTGGGGCTGGGATTGTGGCTCAGTGGTAGAGAGCTTGCCTAGCATGTGTGAGGCACTGGGTTCAATTCTCAGCACCACTTATAAACAAATAAAATAAAAACCATTGACAACTAAAAAATATTTTTAAAAAAGATTGAAAACTTAAAAAAAATTAGGCTTTAGTACTCTGAAGCAAGTAACTATTTTATTTGTGCCAGTAATTGTTCACTATGACACCTTATTCAGTGCTTACCAAACTTTTCCATGACATGGCACATATGAAATAATCCTTATCTATATAGCTAACTGAGTATACAGAAGAGGTTGCTGGCAAGCACAGTGACTTCAAACAGAGGAGTCCATCCATCCCAGGCATTGCCCAGTCTCCTGAGAGCTGAGGGGTTCAAAATCATGGCACACCTGAAATCAATCTGGAATATATCAGACTAGATGGAATTACAAGGATACACCAACACACTTGACTCCCCTGACTCCTTAACTCCTCATCTCCCCAAATGGAGTCTTACTATGTTGCCCAGGATAGCCTCCAACTCCTGGGCTCAAGTTATCCTCCTGCCTCAGCATCCCTAGTAGCTGGAACTGCAGGCACGCATACCATGACCAGCTGTAGATATGATGACGTTCTTTTTTTTCTTTTGCACCAAGGGGCACTTGGCCACTGAGCCACATCCCCAGCCCTGTTTTTAAAATTTTATTTAGAAACAGGGTCTCACCGAATTGCTTAGCGCCTCACCATTGCTGAGGCTGGCTTGGAACTCGCAATCCTCCTGTCTTAGTTTCCCAAACTGCTGGGATTACAGGTATGTGCCCCCCGCACCCAGCAATGATGATGTTCTTGATTCATGGAATCAACTAGTCATGAAATCTGCCCTACTTGTAGACTTCCTGTCATTTTAGATAATGAATTTCCTTTCTTTGCTAATTTCCTTAATTTGATGTGGGATTTTCTGTTACTTGCATTTAAATTGATAACGTGCTAAGTGCTTAAATATCTCTTTTATCCATTAACCTTATGTGTCATGTGTAATTTTTAACCTATTTGGTAGATGAGGAAACAGACTTGATGAGATAACTTGATCAAAGTTATATAGCTGGTAGAACTATAATTTCAATACAGTAAATTCAGAGCCTATATGCTAGTGCATATCCTGCTTTCTATAATCCAAACAAATATTTTATTTTATAATACCATTAGATGAAGAGTGGCAAATGCACTTTCCTGATTTTGAACTGACTGATTTAAAATGATTTTATTAATCAGGTAGTGGTCAAGTCACTCAGGATGCTGAGGCAGGAAGATCCCAAGTTCAAGACCATCCACAGCAATTTAGTAAAACCCTAAGCAGTTTAGAGAGACTCTGTTACAAAATAAAAATAAAAAGGGATGGGGATGTAGCTCAGGGGTAGAGCACCCCTGGGTTCAATTCCCACTATCAAAACTATAAGAAAATAAAATAAAATTGTTATTCTCTAAGGATGCTGTTGATTAGGACAAAGAATAATGTTTTGAGGAAAACAGATGGGTTCTAAGTAACAGAGGAAAGACAAATTGTGATTTACAGTGTTCAACAACTAATCTATAAAACTGATAAACAAACCAGTTTAGCATTATGTAATTACACCTTAACTAAATGTAAACAGAATAGAAATAGGGAATCTGTCTGACTTTTTCACCCTGTCGGTGGTCTGTAGGGAGGAAAGAAGAAAGCAGTGTTCTTTCCTAGGAGGCATCCCTCAGTTAGGTCTATCTGTATCCTAATCGTGGTGTAACCACTTACTACATCACTTTAGGCAAAACTTCACTTCTGTGGTTTAGACTTTTCATCTGTTAAACAGGGGTAATAATAATACTTCCAGGGTTATCGTAATGATCAAATGAGATAAAGTACATAAAAATCCCTTATATTGGTCCCTGTTATTTATGATTATTATCACATCACCATGATAATTTGAAAGAACAAATGTTCTTTTTTAAAATATTTTTTTAGTTGTCAATGGACCTTTATTTTATTTATTTATTTATGTGCAGCACTGAGTATCAACCCAATACCTCACACATGCTACGCAAACGCTCTACCAGTGAGCCACATCCCTAGCCCCTAGATGTTCTTTTTAAAGAAAGCAGATAATTTGGGGTTGGGGCTGTGACTCAGTGGTAGAGCACTCGCCTAGTGTGTGTGTGAGGCCTTAGGTTCGATCCTCAGCACCACATAAACATAAAGAAATAAAATAAAGGTTTGTGTCCAACTATAACTAAAAAAAAAAAAAAAAAAAAAAGAAGAAGAAGAAGAAGAAGAGAAAAGGAAGTAGATAATTCTCCTGTTCCTAAAAGGGAAAATGATAAAACATTGTATAAAAAAAGGGGTTCTTTTTAAAAATATATTTTTATTAGGGCTGGGGTTGTGGTTTAGCGGTAGTGCACTTGCCTGGTTTGTGTGAGGCACTGGGTTCAATCCTCAGCACCACATATAAATAAAAAAAATAAAGGTCTATCAAAAACAAACAAAAAAAATCTTTATTGAACCCAGTACCTCACATAAGCTAGGCAAGCACTCTACCACTGAGCCACAACCCCAGCCCCCCCCCCCCAAAGGGGTTCTTTTTCTCAGTATTTTTTTTTTGTTTATTTATTTTTAACTCTATTTATTTATATTTTATGTGGTGCTAAGGTTTGAACCCAGGGCCTCACACGTGCTAGGCAAGCTCTCTACCACTGAGCCCCAGCCCCAGCCCTATAAAGGGGTTCTTTATTGATAAGTTGAAGTAATGGAGGAGGGAAACAAGTACAATAAATGCAGTCATATGGGATAGAACGGCTCTCACACACTTCCTCTTGCCATGTAATACCTGGTACCACCTCACCAGCAAGAAAGCCACCTCCAGATGAATCCCCTCATCCTTGGACCAAAATCATGAGTCAAAATAAATGTTCTTTTCTGTATAACTTAAAAAAAAAAAAAAAGGTCTTGGGGTGGAGCTCAGTGATAGAACACTTGCTTATCATGTGTAAAGCCATGGTTCCATCCCCAGCACCACAAAAAAATGTAGGGGAAGGGGTATACCTCAGTGATACAGTGCTTGCCTAGCAGACACTCGGTTCGATCCCTAGCACCGCAAAAAAAAAAAAAAAAATCCTCTTTTTTTAGTAAAAAATTATAAGTGACTAGGGTTTTAAATCAAAATTATGAAAAACAAAATTCAAGCTCAATTTTCATTTATTAAGGAGCTCTAGAATACCATAAATCTTCAATTAAATGTTTCTAGACACCAAAAAGATACAATGAAAGAGACTACACAACAAAAAAAACATAGGTATGAAATTAGGGACAGAGATATAAGGAGCGCATGACATACAAAAAATTAACAGATAATCAGCAGAACAGAGATGTAGACAGAAAACGAGGAACCAGTCAGTTTTCCCATCCCCTACTCTCCTTCCTTCCAGTTCCAAGTACTTACATTGAAAGATGCCAGGGCCTCAGAGACACTCTTCTCAATGAACTCATCAGTGATTCTTCGGGAAGGATGTTCATTAAACACAGAGTTCATTAATGCAATCTTTGCAGCACTCCTCCTGGCCTCCGCTTTTGTGGGGCAAAACTAGGCAGGGAAGAGAAAGTGAGAATACGTGTACATGTGTACTCGAGAGAGAGGAAGAAACAGTGGGAGGGAGACACTTAAGATAGAGAACAAAGTGGACACTCTTTAGATAAATCACTTGTGTTCAACACACTTTACAAAGTTTTTATTGTAAAATGATTGGGATGTTTGGAAACAGACTTTTGATTCAACATCCTGAAGTCATTAAAGAACTGGAGACGACTACAGCTCATAGAAAACTGAATGAGAACTAGTAAGGCCGCTGAAGTGAGCACATAACCACTAGACTTGAAAAATACCTCTGTTTAAACTGTCAACAGAATTAATTACTCAAAAGTCAGATTCTGGCCAGCTTATCAGAAATCTGTATCTTGTTCTCTTGTTCTCTAGACAAGCAAGATTTTTTGGATTCCTCTAGATAATCCAAGATTAGAACAAAGCTGTTTGTAGGCTGCTTCTGCAGAGAAGGCCTCTTGTCTCTATCAGGCACCTATCTGGGATTCATGGATTTCACTTTCAGCTATGAACAGGCATTTCCCCCAATAATGTAATGAGCCAAAGGACTTATCCCAGAAGAGGTCTGAGTAAATTTAGCCTTCTTCCCCCCATAGGAAGCAAGGAGAATAGAGGTGGCTAGGAAAGGAAAGCAAGAAAAACTTAAAAATTAACTCATGTTTTTATATTATTTCTAACAGGTTATCATAGGGAAACTTCGATTTTCAAAAGTCTTAACTCTTTCAACTTCAGATTTCTGGCTACCATAGTATTCCTTTATAATTCACCTTTGCTGGCTGCTTCAAAGACCTCTGTGCCCTTTGTCATTTATGTTTTAAGATTAGAAGAAGGACAGTTAATGTTGCAGTTTTAAGAATTAGACCAGGATATGTTCAGTACTTTGCCATCCATAGTATCATTAAATTTCTAACTTCCTTTAGCTGACAGTTCTCTCTGAAACAATATATGGAGCTTCACACATTAATCCTAAGTCTTTTGGCTTCTTTAGTTTTTCTGTTTCTACTTTTCTATTTCTAATCTGCTGCCCACTCCACTCATTAGTGCTTTTTCTGAAAAAGTTATCTGTGAAGAAAACCACCAGGAAAAATTTCACCTACCAAATTGGATATAAAATATGTAAGCTAAAAAAATCCAAGATAGATAATTCTACTCTTTTAGAAAATAACAGAAATCAAATCACTATAATTGTTCAATTATGGGCATCATCATAAAATTATTAAATCATTATTTAGCATTGTGATAAGGTGGGAAAGAGGAGGAAAGATATTTTCTCTAATAAGAGAAAGCATAAGCCAGGTGCAGTTGCACAGGCCTGTGATCCCCAGCGACTCAGGAGGGTAAGGTAGAGAGGCACAAGTTCAAGGATAGCCTGGGGCAGCTTAGTAAGAGGCTCTGTTTAAAAAAAAAAAAAAGGGTTAAATATGTAGCTCCTGGTAGAGCCTCTGGGTTCAATCCCTGGTACCATAAAAAAGTATAAATATTAGTTATCTGGGACATATATTTATTTCTCTGAAGTAGCTGAGGTTCTGAGGGAAAAAATTTTTAGTCACCTGATTTGAAATGTTTCTGTTTGAGGCAGGAATTGAGCTGCAGTGGCTCTCATTCATGCAACAGATTTATCAGGTACCTACTATGTGCTAGGTTCTGAATCTGGTAATGGGAATTCAGTAGTAAATAAGAAAGTAGACTTAGCATGCATAATGTCCTGGGTTTGATCCCTGGCATCACAAACAAACAATGATGACAACAAAAATACCCAGAAAGAAACAACATATCATGTCTCTTCCATGTTATAGATGGGAAAACTGAGGCCAGAGGGCAATCAGAGAATGAAAACTTTAATCACCTAACTCTTAGATGATGAGGAGCCCCTACCTCACCATACATAGCCACTCCCCTTTGATCTCTTAGAGAATTCAAACATTGCTTTCTTTTGTATATACCTGTGAAAAACTACTGGGGGGTGGGAGGAAAGGGAATGTTGATCTAGATCCTCAAGAAGACACAGCAAGAAGTTGGAATGCAATAATGGACCCAGATCAGAATAAGGGTTGGATGCTAATAGTCTGATATATTCAGTGTTTGTGCAAAATCAAAATTGGTTTGAGAGGCTGGGGTTGTACCTCAGTGGTAGAGCACTTGCCTAGCATGTGTGAGGCATTGGGTTTGATCCTCAGCACCACATATAAATAAGTAAAATAAAGGTATTATGTCCATCTATAACTAAAAAATAAATAAATAAATAGGTTTGATTTTTGCAGGCTGAAAGAAAAAACATGCTACTAATGTGATTTTGTGATCCAATGAGCTTCAGATGCTTGCCAGAATAATTTTTCCAGATTGGCTTAAGTCCTCAAATATGTGATTTCATGCAGAAATGTAATGGCCAAAGTGATAAAGTTCTTATTAGCACCTAAGATTCAGCTTTACCACTGCTGCCTCACAACTCTTACCTGGAAACTCCCAAAGCAACTTCCCCCAGGTAGGGTGACATAGCAGACATAGGGAGGGCTGTTGGAGGGAACCATCTCATAAACCACTAGAGCCCCATTTTTCAAGTCAGCCCCACGGGACTGTTTCATCTGCCAGAATTCCTGAAGCGCCTCCACCACATTCACTATGAAGAAGAAGAAGAAGAAGAAAGAAAAAGAAGTAGTTAAGTTCAGCAACAATCACACCTCTAAATGGTGCTATACTTCAGTATGGTACCTGTAATCTGTACATACACTACGAGTTCCTTAACTTCCTATCTTTTGCCACTTAAACCTATTATATAAATTGGGGCTTGGGATGTAGCTTAGTGGTACAGCACTTGCCCTGGGTTCAATCCCCAGCACTGCAAAACAAACAAGAAAAAAAGTAATTTAAATTAATAAACGTAGACTATGATCAAGCTAATTTGTATAGGAAGACCAGATTAAGCCTGTCCTCCTCTCCTCCACTCCCCAGATCACACTTTGATTTGTCCTAGATACCAGAAGAAAATAACTTAAAATCAGAAGCATAGTTTCTAAGGTCAGCGGACCATTATCTCTACCTAATGAAGTATAAGTAGATTATTCTACAACTGGTCAGCTGCCCTAGGACAATAATAACCATCACAATAATAAGTGTTAACATTTATTAAACACTGATTGTATGTCGGGCATTTCCCTAAGTGCTTGGCTCATTTAATCCTAACAACCTTATGAGGTACGTACTTTTGTTATTCTCATTTTACAGATGAGGGAAATGAGGCATAGTGGGGTTAAATAACTGGCCCAAGGTTATTTAAAAAACTAGAAAGTAGCAGAGTTAAGAGTCAAATTTAGGGAGTCCTGTGTTTCCACAGTCAGTGTCCTTAAACCATTGGGCAATACTACTGCTTAAGGAAATTGGCTATTAGCCATTCTCAAGTTTATGCTTCTAGTGAGCAAACCAATGACCAGATTCCCTTTCCAGCCTGGAATAATATGTGTATACTATGAAACAAAGTGAGGAGACCAATTCTCTTCTGAATCTTTAATTGGGTAAAAATTATTTGTGGAGGAACAGTATGTTGGGAAGTACTCCTACAAGGGTCTCTTCTACTCCTTTAAACCTTGCTGAGCATGTCAAGAGTGTAAAGTCCTGACTGCACTTAACTTGGGCCATTTCTCAGGACTGTGTTTACACCAATGAACCTTGAGGGATGCGGTAATACCTCCCTCTAAGACAAAGAACAATCTTGCCACTGCTTATGATAAAATGGCAGTTTTCCCAAGTTCAGTGTTCCTCTCATGATATAACCCATGGCCTGTGTAGCATCCACCTGAGTCCTCCACATAAGACTCGGGAGACAAGGGGAACTGATGCACCACAATGCTCATGTTACCTGCTGTGCTATGAGTAATAAAGTTCTTTATTTCTGACCCAGAAATCTCTTGACTTCTGCCAACATCCAAGAAACAGTAACTGGCTAACTTATTAGATTGAAGTAGAGTAAAATCAAACTCCAGACCTGACCCTGTATTCCAGAACACTTCCTACAAGTATTTAGTCCATAAATAGGCAGTAAGTACTTTCCCTGTGCCAGACTGTTCTAAGCTATAATAAATAGTAGAATACATTCTAAAGAGGGAATGTAACATGTACACAGTGTAAATAGGAAAAAAGATGTTAAATAATCTCAAACATACATAAAATTCCAACTGTGATAAGTGGCTAGGAGAGGCAGATAGTGGGCAATGTAGGAATATCTGCTCTAGTAAAGAAAGTTACCCTGAAGAGTTGATATCTAAGCTGAGGTGTGAGTAGGAATCCACCAGATAAAAAGTAAAAGAATAGTGCCCTGAGCATAAGAAACAGCACGTCCAAAGGCTGTATGACAGCAGGGAACATGGTAAATGAAGGGACTAAAAGAAGGCCAATGTGGCTACAAAAGAGTGAGGGGATGGAATGCAAGATGAGCTTAAAAAGGAGGTAGGAACCAGACCAGGTGGGGCCTAAAAGGCCCCGTCAGAGCACTGGCTTTATCCTAGGGTGAGATGGGAAGCAACTGAAGGATTTTAAACAGGGGGAATGAGATCATTTTACCTTTATAAAACATAATTTTTCCTTTGACTCTAGGGTTCCAAACATTTCAAATGGCTTCAAGGCCTCATAATAAATTGTCAAATGTGCTCTCCAATATATTGCAACATGATCACTTTCTCACTCTTATAAACAACAAGGACTCATTCATTCTTTCATATTGTGCTAATTCAGGTCTGCCAAGAAGACATCAAAATAGGATAGACATGTAAAAGATTTTCTAGAGAGGAAGTAGGAGAAGGCAGGGAGAGCCTTCAGATCACAGTGAGGGTCTGATACATATAGAAGAGAGGGAAAGAAGGAGGTTTAGATATGTTTCAGCCTGCAGGTTGTTCCAAGAAAGGTTTGGTCAAGCCAGTGGGAAGTCCTTATATCAAAGGAATCCCACAATCTTAACAAGGTGTGCCTGCATTAATACTCCTGTTATGCTCAGTCATTGTCTGGGAGCAGTGTACGACAAGACTGGCCTCCGTACAAATGTGGTGATGGACTTAGAGGGGGCAGGAGCTGAGGCTGTCAGTCACTTATGCTCCCTACAGCAGGAGATCTGATCTGCACATTTTCATTAAGCAAGAACTCGAGATTTAATAGGTACCCAGCTCACTGTAGTCATTAGAGATACAAAGAATAACACAATCCCTGCCAGCTAGTGTTCAAAACCTAGTGACCAATAATGTTATCTCACCTGCTCTCAAACTGAAACAAGGACCCCATGTTCTAGCCGGAGTTTGAAAAGCAGAATAAGCTCTTCTCTAATACCTTATACTTAACTGACTTTTTAGAATGTTCATTCTTCTATTAAAAGGCAGCATGAAAAGGAAACATTCTCTTTCCCACCCTTAGTTTTGGCAAGGGCTCTTTAAAGGTCACTACTGCCCAGAAAGCTTATCCATCTTTGTTCTTTCCATTGAGATCTTTTCAGCCCCAGTTCCCTCTTTGAGACAATTTAGCACAATGCACTGAGTGACAGCTTTCCTGACATGCAAACAACAGGGAGAACAGTGGAATAAAGAAGAAGGGGAGGAGACCACCATAATTGGGAAGGTCCTAGTAAAAAGCATATGTCTATTCTATATCCAGTTAAATCCCTCTCTTCACAGAGTATAGGACTGTTTTTTTAAAAAATTATCACTCAAATCCATAAGAAATGGGAAGTTTTACTTCAGAAATGTGAGTATGAAATGAGAAACTACACAAAATGGTCAGGAAAAAAAAGCAATTAATTGTGATCTGCACTTGAAAATGTTCAGGGAGTGATTTTTAGAGCTGAGACTAAGGAAGGGCAGATGATTTGCTTGAGGTCACACAGATGTAACAGTTGGGGCATGAATCTACGTGTCCTTATGCCAATGTTCTTTCCAATTTGGGAATCTTAATCCAGGGTTTGGGATCCTGTTCACAGCTCAACTTCATGGGGTTTATAACCCCCATAAAACTAGTAAGTAATGTGTGCGTGCCTGCATACATACATGTGAGCATTTCTGGGTATGGGAGTGGTGTCTGTAGTTTTATTTTCTATGAGAAATCATGAATATAATGGTTTACATATGAGTAAAGAAGAGTGAGGGAGGAAACACACACATTGGGCAGATACGATTGTTTTCTGGTTGGCAATGACAGATGGGCTGAAGGGCATCAGAAAGACCAAGACACGAAGAATATCTATGTCAGGACATTTAATGACAACACAAAAGAGAATGATTTGTTTTCTACCTTTAGAAGATGAAATATTAGATGCATGTCTAAGTGGTATGAGAGGTAAAGATCATTTGTCCACCAGAATGGAAACATTAAAACAACACCTGGGGGCTGGGGTTGGGTGTATCTCAGTGGTACAGATGCTTAGCATTCTTGAAGCCCTGGGTCTAATCCCCAGCACTCAAAAACCAAAAAGCAACAATGAACTACAGAAAAAATTTTATATTATAATAATAAATATAATATTGTGGTAAGGAAGCAGGGATAAATAGATAATAAATAGCTAAAGAAATTGAGAGATTAATAAAAAGGTCTTCCCTGATCATACATGTTTGTGAGAATAGGCTGGCCTACCCTCGTTCAAGTTATTATGGAAAATAGTCAAGGTAGTTAACAATATTCTGCTCTATTTCATTTTTTAAAGGGAATAGCTTTAAAATTAATAAGCTTATAATGCACAGTCTCTTTGGAAGGGAGGGATTGTGAAGCACCAGTGACTTCAACGGGGGACTAGGCTAGGCTGAATGATACCTTCTGCCTAGATGAATGTCTAATCCCTGGGACCTGTGAATATTACCTTATGCGACAAAGACTTTGCATCGTGTTTAAGTTAAGTAATCTTTGGTGGAGAGATTATCCTAGATTATCGTGTTTGGCCCTAAATGCAATCAAAAGTGTCCTTATAAGAGGGAGCTCAGATTTGGCAAAATACAGAAGAGGAAAGGCATGGAGGCAGAGATTGGAGAGAGAGAGCCACAAGCCAAGGAATGTCAGCAGAAGCTGGAATCGGCAAGGAATGGACTCTCCCTTAAATTTCTGGAGAGAACATCTCCTTGCCCACACCTTGATTTGTGGCTCAGTGATACTGACTTTGGATTTACTACTAACAGAGCTGTGGGCGAATAAACTTCCGTTGTTTTAAGCAGCAAAATTTGTGAGAATTTGTTACAGCAGCTGTAAGAAACTAATATTGGGATTAGTCTAACATTTCTAAAAACTGGAAATATTCAGACCAATCAGTGTAATTCAACCACTTATAGAAAAACCTGTAGTGAGGAAGAGGAAAGATTAAACAGTAAATATTACATAGGATTCATTTAGTCAGCACAGTAGAGTAGGTGGGCAAAATCTCCAATTACATAGCCCTATTGTAATATAATGGGAGAGCAATAATTCCAAAACAAGAGGCTTGCATATGGAAATATAACAGTTATAAAGCAAGGAAAGTGACTTGCTCAATCATGCCAGTTTAGGGACTGCCAGATGTTAAACATGAGAGAAGATCTACATGCTATGTGGAAAAAAGGGGAGAGAAACATGGTAATGTGAACAATGCCCATCATATGTACAGTTTTCAAAGCATTTCCAAATGCACAGTAATAGCAATCACTCATTGAGTACTATGTGCTGCATGCTTTAAATTCATGTTTTCATTTAATCCACACAAAACTATCAAAATAGGTATAATAACATCCATTTCACTAAAAGCAAACAAGGAAAAGGCCAGAAGTAGCAGAACAGGGTTTAGAAAAAATATTCATTTGTTTACAAAGCCAACCCTTTTTATTGTACTATCCTGCTTTATTATACCATTAATCCTCACATGATCTGTGAAGCAGACTGTGAACTCCATCAAGAGGACTAAATATCTGCCTTGTTCACCACTGCATCTGGTAATCAATAAATATTTGTTAAATGAATAAACGAAATAGATGAGGCACAGAGAGATTAAGCATTTTCTCCAAGCTGCACAGCCATTATTTGGCAGGGCCAGGTTCTCTGATCCCAAATTCTCTCTCTCTCTCTCTCTCTCTCTCTCTCTATATATATATATATATATATATATATATACACACACTTTAAACTGATTAAGATCCAACAGAAGGGCTGGGGTTGTGGCTCAGTTGTAGAGCGCTTGCCTAGCACGTGGGAGGCAATAGTTTCGATCTTCAGCACCACATAAAAAGAAAGAAAAGAAAGGAAAGGAAAATATATATATATACATAAAAGATCCAACAGCAAACAGAACTATGTGTGTCTCTCAGGCAGGTGAGGGGCACGGGGAGATAAAGGACAAATAGGTAAAATAAGAGAAGAGATTTTTTGCTTAAATGCTGGGATCCAATATGAGTGGAAAATGAATCTAAAGACTGAATTGAAAAGGATGAATTTGGAGTAGACAGGAAGAAGATGAAGGATGTGGATTGAAGATGATGTGCAAGGCATTGTTGGGTCAGAAAATGATTTGGACAGAGGCCAAAGTAAATTGTTTTCATGGGAATAGAGCCATCCCCCAGTTACCATGCCATCAGTCACATGGGTATGTGGGTACATGCCAATGGCAGCTTCGCCTATTAATCGGAGCAGAATAAGTGGTTCCATGTGGTGAAGGACTTCTGAGCCAAATCGGCAGAGATTTTGCTTGCCTAAAGCTGAACTATCTGCCAAACTCTCGTAAAGAACTGGCTGGACACCCAGACTGGAAATGGGTAACTCGAGAATAATGAGGATTGTGATGGGAGGTGGGGAGACTGGAGGAGAGGATCACCACAGAGTCTGAAGCCTGAGTGATTGCTCTTTGTCAGCACAATCTCTTTGTTCCCTCATCCTTTCTGAGGAAATTAAGGTTTTATAAGACACCCAGTTTGGAAGCCAAACCAGAGGCTTTCCAGGTAACATAGACAAGGAAAAAGGGTACACTCCTCTATAATTTTAATGAACACCAATAAGTTTCCCAGAGGAAGAATTCAGATTTAGGTTGATCACTCCTGGCTATTCCTATGCCCAGAGGCAAAGACTTTCCCTTGTCTTGACTTCAAGAGACCTGAAGCAACAGGACAATGGCTGATGGCATTCCATCACATAGCCTTGTTAAGCCTATGAATTAAACCAGAAAAATGACTGTATGGACTCTTGATGAATTTCAGAATCACATCCATTTGTATATCCAGCATCTTGCAAAGTACCTGCTCCATGGTAGGAGTACAAATTGTATGAAAAATGAAGAGAAACTAATAGTAAATTAATGATTAGGCACATACAGCAAACTGGATCTAAAAATCTGTTTTCATTGGACTCTCTGGGTTTACAACATCAGGATTTAAAAGTGGGAGAGACACGGTCTTAAGGAAATATGAATCAATGAATTTGAGATGATAATAATAATTATAAGTACCTATTATATTTTCAGTTGCAATTTCTCAATCCACATCATAACCCCTGAGAAAGGTGAAGCTCAGTGTGATTGTTTCTTTCCCCAAAGACAGAGCTAGCAAGTGACAGAAGTCTCTGAAGCCTGTACACATACGTGTTCTTTTCACTGTACTCTCTCAAAAAAACAAAAACAAAAACCTCATTATTGTCTATAGAGAAAGCTCTGCAAATTTTCTCTGTATCAAACTAGAAAGTTAAAGACATAGTTACTTCTGGATCAAACAGGACTTGGCCAAGCAGAAGAAGTGATGTCTTGAAAATTTCAGACTTAAATTCTGAATCCCACACCAGTCATATATTCCTTGTTACTTAAACTATAAATTTGGAACTAGAACTCAGACAAGAAACTCTACACTAGTTAAACAAAAACAACAAAGAAAATCCTCACATTCCCCTTCCTAGAAATTAGGCATCTTTAAGCTGAAGATTTCTAACCGAAATAGGGTTTCTACCTGGCTCATTTCCACAGAATTTAGCATTCAGAGAGCCAAGGCCTGGGATTTATCCTCAGTTTCTGGGCAAGGGCCAGGAAAGCAGAGCCAGACAGTCAGAGGCCAGAGTTCTGAGACTCCATACTACAAAGACAAAAGTGAGCTACTAAGTCACAGGAAGCTGGCATGGGCTCAACGGTATGGGTCCAGATTTAAAGGCACAATTACTGTGACTCGTGAAGGCACTAACTCCCCAGCAAATCAGAAGTTGCCTTGGAGATTTCAGAGTGAAGTAAGCAAGTAAAGAATTAAAAAGTCAAAGCTAAGGAGATGGAGTCACTTAGCAGGGCGGTCCAGGAATCACTGACATCAGAAAGACTGAAAGGATATATAGATGAGAAGTCGCTCAGAGCTGAGATAAAGGATGGGATCCCACACCATGAAGCCCGAGTCTCAAAGCTAGAGAGACGTTAAAACATCAAGTCAGCTACAGAAAGAATTCCATTTCGGACAGAAGAGGTCGAGGGGAAAAGAGGACTATCTGGAAATAGGGGACCGGACAAGGTATCATAATTCCATAGAGTGCCTGAGCGAGTGCCTGTGCTGGTGTGTGCAGCCCAGAGGGAAACTCCCCAAAAGGAAATGCCTGGGAGGGCTTCTCGCCAGGAAAAGGGCCCAAGGCCGCGGGAGCCAGCTCCCGGGAAGAGGGCGTCCGCCGAGCAGGCTCGGACTCACCTCGGCCGTAGCCCTGCGTGTGCTTGGCGAAGCTCCTCACCACGGCCTCCACCGCCTCGCGCAGCACGGCCGGGCTGCCGGCGGCGCCGGGCGGCAGGGGCATTCCGGGGGCCCCGCACAGGAGGAGCGGCGGCGGGGGCGGTGCAGGGGGCGGTGGGGCCGGCGGGGGGCCAGCTGGGGGTGTGGCGGCGGTGGCCGCAGCCCCAGTCACCCCGGGTCGCAGCGCTCGAAGAGTCCCCCTTCCGCTGGTGCCCACTCCGGGCTGCAGTCGTTGTGCTCGCATCGTCTCCATCCCGACGGCCAGCGGAGGAGGGCCCGGAGCCTGCCAGCCTGGCGAGCTAACGGTCCCAGCCACCCCAGCCAGCGAGCGCCGCGGCCGGGGCGGGGCCGGGGCCGGGGCCGGGGCGGGGCCCAGCTGTCAGTCAAGTGGAGGCGGGGAAGAGCCGGGTCCCGTGCCAATCACCAGCGAGAGGGAGGGAGGGGGCGGGCTCTCAGTCCACCAGAAGCAAATCACTGAGGAAGTTGGAGGTGCGGAGAACCAATGCGAAGAGGAAAAACCGATATCCTCTGCAAGGGAGAGCAGAGCTTCGGGGCGTCTTTGGGAATCCTGCGGCGAGCACTAGAAATCCGCCCAGACCCCTGGGGCGGGGCTTGAAGGAAAAATAGGCCTGGATGCCAGGCTGAGATGAATGGTAGACACAGTGCGAGAGCTCATTTGTCCCATCACCTTATTTTATCGATGTAGATGAGGAAACTGGCTCGGAGAAATGATGTGACTTGCCAAAGATCACATGGTAATTGGTGATGGAACTAAAAAGAAAAACTACTGACATTTAATGAGCATACAGTATGTCATGTGCCTTAGTGCATTGTTGTACTTAATAATCACAATCACCACCAGTTTTTATTATTATTTTATGAATAAAGAAACTGACACATAGGGGGGTTAAATTGCCCAAAATTAAATAGCTAGGAAATGACAAGGGGCAGGGAGGCGGGGAGGCTCAGACATAGGTATTCTACTGCCCAATATTTTCATCTTTTCACCATGTCACATTGTTGGGTAAATTTCTGATTCCACCAATCCTAAGGAAGAGAGTAAGATAGTAGAGCGGGTATGTCCCTGAATATATGCAGAAAAACCAGTAAACTGAGAAATTCAGGAAACAGGTTAGGAAAGGCACCCTTGTTCAAAGAGTCTGTCTGGATTCCACTTTTTACCTCACACATGGACACACATCACACACATTACACATCACTTGTCAGTTGACTATGTACCATTTTTACTTAGGTGAAGTTTTTGCTAACCACCTCCCCGGCCCAAAAATCTCTCCTACAGTGACTCAGAAATAAAGATAGCCCATAGAGGTAAAAAGTAGAAGAAAATGAATGCAAAAGACTTAGTGAAATGAAAATTAGTCCCCGAGTAAAAACTGAGTCGACAAGAAATAGGAAGCTAGAAAAGGAGACAGTTCATCTACTGAACCATACTGTCGATGGTGGAGGGAGGCACTCTGTGTAGGAATCTTAAAGAATTTAAGGGTGGACACAGGGGAGACTGGAGGAAATGACAGCCTGTCAAATGCTTAAAACCTTCAGGACCCCTGCCTTTTCTTCTACAGTTGATCAATTGGTCTCCTGAAAAGACAGTAACTATAACCTCTGAGTAATCTCCTGGATCATTGTAGCTATACATGAGTATCACCCTCCCTCCACACTTCCTTATTCCCCACGCCCCAGGCAGAAGTGACAAAACAGAGACTTCTGTACACATTTATTTGATATGTCAAGTGGAGTGAGGAGTGATTTAGAACTACTCCCCACTTCTACTTGTGGGAGTGTTCATAAGCTCAGACAGACAGTAGAGCAGCTTAGAGCCCATGACCCACCCCTTGGGAAAATGAGACAACCTGTTGTAGTGTTTGAGAGAACAGAGTGGGAATAAAAAGTAGGAAGTTGAGAGCAGGAAAGAGCAGCACTGAGACTGGGAGTTGCTGCAGGAACCCCAAGAAGTGAAGAGATATCCTGAAAAGTGTTTGGGGTTGGAAGCAGGGTGTGAACAAGGAGCCAGGCCTGGAGAGAGAAGCAAGACCTGCAAAATGGAGTGGAAAATTCATGAGAAAGTAGAGTGTGCAAAATCAGGATAGGCTGTGTTGCAGGGCATACATGGAAAGCAAGGGATTGCTTCTGCAGGAGGGCAAAGATATAGGAGAATACCCATAAGTAGAGGTCCTTACTGCTTCTGAACAAATGCAAGTGAGTTTGAACCCTAGCACAAGTGGTCCTCCGTGTTTATTGGTGTGCTGTGCCTGTGGGTATTCAAGTAATCCCACATGCTTGTGAAATGACCAGGGCATGAATTCTATGTCTGTAATCCAGTTAATGGAGTACTTATCCTTCCTTGCTAATAAGTTTGCTGTGCTTGTGGACACGTTTACCCATGTGTACGTGCATCGTGCCATAAGCACATGCAAGAGATCCCTGTGTCCAAGGTATGCGTAAGAGCTGGTTCTCCAATCTGTCCCATCAATGTCTGATCCCCGCCCTCCTTGGCTCCTCCCACTTATCTCAACGCCCTGATTCCCCTGGCCCGCCTAGGCTTTGGAAGCCCCCTAGCAAGCGGATCTGCTCAGTCTGCATGGAGTGGCGTCTCACCAACTTGCGCTTGGTCCTGGGAGAGCCGGGCACCCCGGGGTGGGGAGGGGCAGGCAGTGAAGGCGCCCGACCTCCGGGTTGGGGGCGAATGTCGGGGATGGGGGGGTGGGGACTGACGTTGAGTGGGGGCAGGAAACCCGGCCGCGTTTGGGAGATGTGGTCCAGGAGCAGCGTCCCTGAGCCCCTCCTTTCCAGCAGCCCGGGACTCCGCCTCCGCCCGCTCAACGGAGATACAGCCCCGGGCAGACTTTCCTGGGACTGACGCGGGGAGGGAACCGAGCCGGCTGGAGGGAGGGTCAGCGGGGAGGCGCTGTATCGGCGACGTTCGAGGGACAGTCGACTGGACTCAGGCGAATCAGGGCAAAGATGTCCGGGGGTGTCGAGCTCCACCGGCTCCATGCGGCTCAGTTTTTGGCGTAGCCCTGAAGGGGGACCAGACTCTTGAGCCTCGGGCGCCGTGTTTCTGCGCGAGAGAGGACCTCCGCCAGTCACTTTTTCCGCCCAAGGGGGAGGATCCTCTGGGCCTTCCGTGCTGTGACGTCGGGAAAGACGGGGTCGACCGGTCAGAGTCAGACCATTGAATTCCGCGGTCAGGCGCTCGATCCCGGGTCTTCCTTCGGCAGGAGGGACAGGTTGAGGCGGAGCCACTAGGCCCCAGGGCTCGGAGTTAAGCCTTTTGAGTGGTTTAGGGGGATGTCGAGGCGGTTTGGGGAGCGGCTCAGAAGGGGAGGGGTCATCAGGGGGCTTAGGAAGAGGGAATTCAAATACGTCCCGCTTCTCCTCTTCTTCCTGGGCGCGAGGGGATAATAACCCGCGTCCTCCTGCAGTTTGCAATTGGATTTCCGAAGGCGACGTGCAGACCCCGGGGCTAGGAGGAGCGGGAGCAGGGTCCTCCACCCCGGGGGACGGTGGGGAATTGAGATACTGCCGGGTCTTCTTGGTGCCCGAGGGCGAGGTATCCGTGGTTATAATGATGACCTCCGTGCCCTTGGCCTTGCAGGCGTCCAGGAGTGTGGCAAGGGTCTCGCGGTCTCCGCGGTCCAGGGCATGGACAAGCGCCGAGGCGCCTGCGTGATCTCGGACTGAGGGATCTGCGCCGTGGGCAAGGAGCAACGAGGCCACTGCGGCACCCCCACCCCCGGCGCAAGCGTGCATGAGCGCCGTGCGCCCTAGGCGGTCTGCGATGTTGGGGTCTGCGCCTTGCTCCAGGAGGTAGCGTACCATGCGCGCCTTATTCTGGGGGTCGTCGTAGCGGGCCCGACAGGCCGCCATTAGCGCAGTCTCCCCCTGGGCATCACCCTCATTCACGTATGCTCCTCCCTCCAGAAGCAAACGGGCCAAGCGTAGCTTACCCTGACCCACGGCCCGAAGAAGAGCGTGTCCTTCGGTGTGCAGCATAGCTGCGGCTGGGGCGAAAGCACCGATAGAACCGGGACTGGGACCTGCCGAGGATGGCTAGGGATCTGGGGCTTGTGGCTGGCAGAGGCCTGAGGTCTCAGTGGTGAAGCCTATCCCTGCGAGAAAGAGAGAGATTTTATTGACAGATTCAGCAGGGAAACTGAGGCACCGGGTGTGAGGCGGGAGAAATCCAAAGCATACAGCCCTTCCTCTAACTCCTGCCTTTGAGCCGCCCCTTCCCCCCAGCGCATGCCTGAGGAGGTGGGAAGGAGGCACCCGCACCAAAGGATGAGCGAGCGTGCAAATATGTACGTGCACGCGCAGGGATATTCGCACCCCCAACCTCACCCCTCGGCTTATCAGACCTTTCCAGCATCCCCCTTTTCTTAACCACACTTGGAATCCCCCTTTCTAGGATGCTGAACGCCGCCCACCCACACATATGCACCGGTACAGTCACACACCACATTTCCATTCCTAATCTCTTTTAGGTTGCCACAACCCCTAAAATTGAGTAGGGGTAGGAAAACATCTTGCGTTTAAGACCTAAAAGGGATGGAGGAATAATTGCGGGTTTCTATTGCCCCTGATATATTCCCCATCACTCCATGCTCTTTTCCCTTCCAGACTGTGAGCCCAAATAGATACCTGAATGTCCGCAGAATTTCTGCCAGGCCAGGATTGGAGACGCGGCCATGGAGCAGCTGGAATGCGGGAGCCGAGTTCCAGGGGGCTCATATGGCGTGGTGGTGGTGGTGGGGGGTGCCCGGATTCCCCTGGTGTCAGTATCTGCGCCCCAGCGCCGGATCCTGGTCCCTCCTCCCGGTGCGCCCCGGGCACAGCGCCGGCTCTGGAGGAGAGAAGCTGGGGGGGGGGGGGGGCGGAGCTCTGCTGTGCTATTTATAGCCCAGTCTCTGCGGGTGGGGGCGTCGGCACCAAACCGCTCCCCACCCATGCACACATAAACCCTGAAAAACCTAGAGACTGCAGTCCTGACTTCCCTTTCTCAGCTGACCCCCCCTCAGCCCCAACAAACCTAAGCATTCCTTAGGAGACTCCTCTGCGACCTATACAGCAAGCGTTCCGATTCTTCGCGGAGCTTCAGCAGATCTCCACTCAGTGTGTTTATGCGCTCCTGTGCCAAGACCTGACGGCCACACACGGCATATGGCACACTATTGCAGAGGGGTGGAGGGAGGCGATTAAGATCCACATCGGCGTCCACACTGCAGAGAATCTGGTTGTCTTCATGCCAGGGAAACATGGTCCAGCCTGGAGTTAGACACAGCAGTACAGCCCCAGTCCAGTCCTCCCGAAACAGAATACACACCATAGAGAATACACACCTTCAGCTCCCTTATTTAGAGCTCCTAGATAAGTGTGAAGATGATGGATATCCCGGGCATTTTTAGACAGGGCAAGGGTCATTCCCAGACACCTCTTTCCCCTGCGCGGGAAGCGGGGGCGAGGATAGGAAAGGGGCAGGGAGATGAGCAAAGCATGTAACACACACCCTCTTTCATTGTATCTCTTTGCTCTGGATCTTGCTTAGACTCATTTTTCCATCTTGTTGGTCCCTGTCCGAATCACTGTCTTCTCTCTTCCTGTTTGTCACTGTTGGTCTCTCTCACTGTCTGCCTCTCCTTGCCACCTGCCCTGTCTCCATGGTTACCACAGCTTCCATCTGCATATTTTAGGAATGAGTTTGTGTCCAGCTGGAAGACACCAAATGAAATGGGGGATGAAAAAGATCTGAATATTTGTAAGGTTCACCAGGGTCCTAGATAATTCGGAGGCTGGAGGCCCCCAGACAGAAGACACTAAAAATAAAGTTCCTGGGTAAAGGAGAGAGAAAAATATTTACAGCATAACTATTAATTTTTACTAGTTACTGATGGCAAATATGTACCAAGTGCCTCATATATCATATTTCCAATTCTTCACAACTCTGTAAGATGGGAGCTACAATCTTCTTGTAAAACATGATATAAGAAGGTTAAGCAAGTTCTCCGGAGCTTCCCAGCTATGTTTTTGTTCTATTCCAAAGACGGCACTTTCCACTTCACCTACCTACAGCCTCCCAGTCTGTTTTCTGATATCTGGGATATTCTTGTAGACTGACTCCTAGATTCTGTCTCCACTACCTTCCCTCGGTTTCTGTCCTCTGTGAAAGAACGACTCCTCCTTCACCCCCCCGCCCTTTACTAAGGGGTTTGAAAATGAAGAAAACACAGGCCTTTACCCTGGTTCCCCAAACCTTCTTTCCACCTTTTCCTAGACTTGGCAGCAACCCACAGAAATAACGTTTTTAGAAAAAGAAGCGTCCACTGGTGGCGCTGGAGAAGGTGGTGCAGGATTGAAGGGAAGGTTGGAATAATGGAGGAGAGGCCAAACTGTGAAGTCAGAGTCACAAAGAGACTTGATTCCTAAAGAGTAGCTTTCAAGGGGTTCATTTCTCTTTAGAAGCTTTCCTTTTTCGGCCTCTCTTGATGCCTCCCTCAACAGAGTCCCTCAATGATATATGAGAGGGGGTTCTCTCTGAGAACGCCTGCTGGCCAGGCGCACCTCTAACTGCGGAGAAGACGGCAGTAAGTGAGCCCCGCTAATTCTGCAGCCGCACCCCTCTGGGCGGCCAGCTCCCGGGCCCTAGTTCCGGCGGCCGGCTTCGCCCCCTCCCTCCTCCGTCTGGGTTTCACGGGGGCGGCCCTCCCTCCGCGGCTTCTACGAGATTGGCTGCGAGGACCCACCAATCGCGAGCCCCGGGAGGACCCACCAATCGCGAGCTCCGGGAGGACCCACCAATCGCGAGCTCCGGGAGGCGGGCTCAGAGCGCCGCCGGTTTGAGGAAGACGAGCCAATTTCAAGTTGGCCGCGCCGTGCGCTCCGCGTGCGGGAGGGGGGGCTGGCGAGGTCCGGCCCGGCGATTGGCCGCTTGGGTCCCACGCTCCCAGAACTGGTTCCCCGGGCCGGCTGGGGACCGACGCCGCTTCCGGCAGCCCGTTGGGTCGCCCTCTGGCCCCTTAGCTGCTCTCGTGGGCGCCGGTGGCTGTGTCGGTCGTACGGAGAGAACCGTAAGTTGTACCTCCTTCACGGGGAGGGGGCTGAGGCCAAAGTGAAAGGCTCTTTCGTGTCTCTCTTTGCTACGGCCTCACCTCCGTGAACCTCCTGATATTCTCCCCTGAGAGCCTGACTTTTTTTTTTTTTTAAATCCATCAAGACGTAGCTATCCCCTCCTACCTGTGGCTTTCCTGGACTGCTTTTCTTGCAGAACTCATTTGTCCCAGTCGATGGTAGTATTTTACGCCTGCCTCTATTAGGGTGCACTCTCTTATAGTGTTTCTGTTTAAAATCATTTGATTTGATTTGATTTCAGTTGTTAATGGATCTTCATTTTATTTATTTATATGCGGCGCTGAGAATTGAACCTGTTGCCGCACACATGCTAGGCAAGCACTCTACTACTGAACTGCCATCCCTGCCCCTCTGATAGTGTTTCTGTTCCTCTTAGATTGTAAGGCTTTGTAGGGCAGGTTCTAGTACTTAATACATAGTGCCCAGTGAGCGTTAATTGAATGGAATTGATTTCTGGAAACTAGCACTCTCGGGGAGGCAGAATTTAAATTCCTTATATAATTAGGGAACAATAAGAGACACTACAGTACATAATTACGGGCTTTTAAATTAGTGGTTCATAGTATTAGCGTTTCATAATTGCTTTCAGAATCCAGAGAAGAAAGAAGGCAAGAAGAACTTGAGAGGAGTCTTTATGCATCACAAGGTCTCAAATTTGCAAAGACTATAGAAATCATGTATTCATTCTACAGATATTTATTGAGCAGCTACTATATGCCAGAAAAATGTTAGACAATGAGAATCATAGTGAATTATTTACTCTAGCCATGCATTGTTCTTTTGATAAACCCTTTTTAATAAATTGTTATTCAGCTTCTATGTAAACATCTTTGGGGGTGGACAGGATTAAAGGCAGGTCCTCCTGAATGTTAAGCATGCACCCAGCCACCAAGCTACACACCCAGACCCTCCCTTTTTAAAAATATTTTTTCAAATTGTTGATGGACATTTATTTATTTATTTATATGCGGTTCTGAGAATTGAATCCAGTACCTCACACATGCTAGGCAAGGGCTATACCACTGAGTGGTCTGCCACTGTGCTGGCTCCCCAGTGTTTTTAATGTTTTATATAGAGACCAGGGTCTTGCTGAGTTACTTTAGGACCTTGCTAAATTGCTGAGGCTGGCTTTGAACTCACCCCAGCCCCAGACCCTCTCTTTAATAAAAGAACTCCCTATTTTTCTTTGCAGGTCATTCCATTTTTTTTTTTGTTGTTGTATTTTTTAGTTGTAGTTAGACACAATACCTTTATTTATTTATTTATTTTTATGTGACGCTGAAGATAGAGCCCAGGGCCTCACACATGCTAGGCAAGCGCTCTGCTGCTGAGCCACAACCCAATCCCTAGTCATCCCATTTTTTATATTTGTTCTTCAGTCAATATCCAACAAATATTCTAAATAATATGTAGCTCAGGAGACCTATCCTAATTGTAGCACTCTTTTTTTTTTTTTTAAGAGAGAGAGAGAATTTTTTAATATTTATTTTTTAGTTTTTTGGCGGATTGAACCCAGGCCATACGCATGCCAGGCGAGCCCGCTACCGCTTGAGCCACATCCCCAGCCCCTAGTTGTAGCACTCTTAAAAGAAAATCACTCCTTTTATTTACTGATTATAGAAGTTATATGCGTTTATTTCAGAAAATTTGGAAACATAAAGATATAAAGAAAAATGCCCATTATTTCATGGCCCTAATATTAAATGATAAATATTATTAATATTTTGATATGTACTATTTCAGTTTCTTTCTCTGTGTGTATATACACATACAAAATTGTGTGTATATACATACATATGTATCTTATACATAAATAGGACTATACAATAAGTAGAACTTTATATTGTTTCCTCCCACTCTGTATCGTGAACATTTTTCTGCTTTTATTTATTTTTATTTTTTAAAATATTGTTTAGTTGTTAATGGATTTTTTTTTTTTTTAATGTGGTGCTGAGGATCAAACCCAGTGCCTCACACATGCTAGGCAAGCGCTCTACCACTGAGCCACAACCCCAGCCCCCTGCTTTTAAATATTATTTCAAGTTGTGATTTTTATGGCTACACAATAGTCTAAAATGCTATTTGAGTTTTTTAATTGTTCATTTATTACTGCACCATTGAGGTTATTTCAAAAATTTTGTTACCATAAGTAGCTCTTTGATGAACATATTTGTATATCTGTTTTTTCGGTTTTTTTTTTTTTTTTTGTACCAGAGATTTTACCTTGTGGTGCTTAACCAGTAAGCCACATCCCCAGTCCTTTTTTTTTTTTTTTTTTTGGTACAGGGATTGAACCAGGGGCACTCGACCACTGAGCCACATCCCAGCCCTATTTTGTAGTTTATTTAGAGACAAGGTCTCACTGAGTTGCTTAGGCTGGCTTTGAACTCGTGATTTTCCTGTCTCAGCCTCCAAGCCACTGGGATTACAGGTGTGCGCCACAGTGCTGGCTCCCCAGTCCTTTTTAATGTTTCATATAGAGATGGGGTCTTGCTGAGTTACTTTAGGACCTTGGTAAATTGCTGAGGCTGGCTTTGAACTCACAATCCTGCCTCAGCCTCCTGAGCCGCTGGGATTATAGGCATGCACCACCACACCCGGCTAACTGATGATTTCTTTAGGATAGTCCTTAAAAGTAGGATTATGTATTAAGAATATAAATGTTTAAAAGGCTATTAATTGAAGTGATCCAATTGCTCCCTTGAAAGATTGCTTATAGTCTTTCCAATGAGGTATGAGAGTGTCCTTTCAAAAAAAAAAAAAAACTTATAACAGGCTAAGTATCACTTACATCTTTGTTACCTTTGTCAGTTTGATAGATGCAGAAAGTCTTTATTGACTTTTCTTCTTTTTTTTTTGTCAATTGCCTGTTCATCTTCTTTGCCCATTTTTTTTTTTTCTGTTGGGATGATTTTTTTTCATTAGGTTTCCCAAGAAATATATAATAACAGTGTTGACTTTTTACCTTATTTATGACAAATATATCAACTGCAAATATTAGAGTGCCTAGGGGCTCAGTCCCTGGATCAGTTCCTTTAGGGATCTCACAGTTAATGGGTTGAAATATCATTTATAGGTTAGGAATGGTGGTCCATGCCTATAATCCCAGCAATTTGGGAGTCTGAGGCAGGAGCATCATAACTCTGAGGACAGCCTTAACAACTTAATGAGACCCTGTTTCAAAATAAAAACAAACGGCTGGGGAAGTAGCTCAGTAGTGGTGCTACTGGATTCAATTCTCAGTACCACAACAAACAAACCAGAAATAATCATATATAGGCTTATGACTCCACCAGAATAAACTCCACTTAAACCTTGTGGGAGCAGCAGTTTTGTTTTTTGTTTTTGGTCCTTTTTGCCCACTTTTATATCACTACCACTTAGAACAATGCCTGGTACATAATAGGCATTCAGTAAATATTTATTGAATGAATTAAGGTTATAGTATTTATTAGCGCCATTTTATAGATGAAGAAACAGGTTTGGAGATAATAAATAAATTGCTAACATTTATACCTAGGAAATGACAAAACTGGGATTCAAATCCATGTTCTTACTCCCTACAGTTAACTGCCTTCGTCATCTCTGATGTATATGTTGATGTTTTTCTGTATGTGTTGTTGCAACTTTCTTTTTAGTAACTTGTACCACAGTACACAGTTGTGCGTTACTGGGAACGAGAATAGCATATATGAGATGTTATCATTTGCGGGAAGGCTGAGTACAAGGTAAGCACTAGAGAAGGTCCATGTTAAAGGGGAGCGGATTGGAACCAGATTATGGGAGACCTTAAATATCCTCAAGAATTTAGGCTCTATCCCCGTATTAAGTACGTAGAGACCCATTACAGATTCCTGAGCTGAACGGGGAGATGAATGGTTTATAGTTTCCAACTGCCAGTTTATAGTCTAGAGTAAATAAATTTTGTCTTCTCTCTGAGCCTTTGCTCCCAGCATCCTTGGAGGTCACTCATTTAAATGGAAATGGAGTCAGATTTGTCGACCTCCAAGCTCATGGCCTTGTCTTGACTCCTCACTGCTTTGCAATCAGTGCAGTTCCCACCTCCTCTGCTAGAATTGTCTGTCAAGCAGAAGGGTCCCTAAACCAGTGCTTTTTCCCTTGAAAGGGACTGTAGATACAATGAGAAATTCTTATTCTCTCTCTAGTCTCCAGGACACCCTCCCTCCCCTAGTATGTTCTCTCTGAAGAGATATAATTTTTTCCTCATATTTTTTATGTAATTTTTTCCTCACTATTTCTGTATAAGATACACATGTATGTATATACACACAGAGAAAGAAACTGAAATAGTACATATCAAAATATTAATAATACTTACCACTTAATATTAGGGCCATGAAATAATGGGCATTTTTCTTTATATCTTTATGTTTCCAAATTTTCTGAAATAAATGCATTTTACCTCTATAATCAGTAAATAAAAGGGATGATTTTGGGGCTGGGTTTGTGGCTCAGTGGTAGAGCGCTTGCCTAGCATGCATAAGACACCGGGTTCATTCCTAGGAACCACATAAAAATAAACAAATAATATAAAGGTATTGTGTCCATCTACAACTACACAAATATTTTTGTAAAAAGGGATGATTTTCTCTTAAGAGTGCTACAATATAATTTTTCCCTCACATTAGGCTTAAAACTTTCTGGATTACCCAGACACATTTTCCCATCTTTTCCTTCCAGCTACAGATTATTAATCTTACCAACTAGTTGGTAAGTATGTTTAAATTTATCATTACAAAAGCAGTATTTATTCAGTATAAGGAAAACATTTAAATCCATATACCTAAAACAAAAATCCCCATCACCTCAAATAAATCAATGTTAATTTTTAGTGTATATCTTTCAAGAACAACTTTTTAAAAAATATGTATTTTTTTAGTTGTAGATGGACACAATATCTTTACTTAATTTTTATGTGGTGCTGAGGATCAAACCCAGGGCCTCATGCATGCCAGGTGAGCCCCAGCCCCAAGAACAACTTTTAAATTTATTTGTCTGTATGTATTTTTGACAAAACAAATTATTTTCTACATATTGTCTTTTTTTCATCAACTAATCTTTGGTGAATTTCAAGTTGCTACTCACTTTAATGAAATAGATTTTACTTTTAGAACAGTTTTAGATTTACAGAAAAACTAAGCATATAGTATCTAGAGTTCCCCATATGTTCCTGGCACATACTTTCATAGTTTCCTTATTACCAGCATTGTACATTAGTATAGTGCATTTGTTACAGTTAATGAAACAATATTGATATGTTATTATGCAGGTCAGTGTGTGTGTACACACACACACACACACTCTTTTCATGTATCAGGATATTGGTTGAAATGTCTCCTTAGGCTCCTCTGGGCTGTGACAGTTTCTCAGACTTTCCTGTTTTTGATGACCTTGACAGTTTTAAGGAGTAATAGTCTGGTGTATTATAAGATGACCCTCTGCTGGAAGTTGATGTTTTTCTCATATCAGACTAAAGTCATGAGTTGTTCTGTTGTCGTTATTATTTTCTTCCAGTACTGGGGATTAAACTCAGAGGTGCTTTACCACTGAGCTACATCCCCAACCTTTTTAAATTTTCTACTTTGATGCAGGGTCTCACTAAGTTGCTGAGGCTGGCTTCAAACTTGCAATCCTCCTGCCTTAGCCTCCTGAGTCATTGGGATTACAGGTGCATCACTGCACCTAGGGAGGTGGTGGGGTTTTGAGGGGTAATCACAGAGATAAGAGTACCATTTTATCATATCATATTAGGGACACATGTGTCGACATGATTACAGTTGATGATGTTGACTTTGGTCACCTGGCTGAAGTAATACTTGTTCATCTCTCTATTGTAAAGTCATTTCCTACCCTCTAGCTTTCCAAATGGTTTTGAACAAAAATTTCTATATATAGTCCACAATTAAGGAATGAGGAGTTATGCTCCTCTCCCTTTTAGAGTGGAGTATCTACATAATTTATTTTTGGAATTTTGCACGAAAGATTTGTCTTTTCTCCCCCATGTATTAATATATTCAGTCATTTATGCTCTTATAGATTCATGGATAATTATTTTATACTTTGAGATTATAATCCAATATGAATTTATGTCATTTCTCAAATTATTCCAGTTTTGGCCATTAGGAGCTCCTTTAGTTGGATATCACTTTGACAGCCCCATCAATGTGTGTGTATGATTGTGGAGCACTTCCTTACTTTCTGGCACCTTGAGATATTCCTGGTTCATTTTATTTCTTTCCTGCCCAGTCCTAAATTCAACCATTTCTCCTAGGAGCCCTGTTTTTTGTTTTTGTTTTTTTTTTTTAATGGGAAAATGGTATTAGAAACCAAGATCGGAGTGTTGAGTGTGCTTATTGGTGCTTATTGAGTGTGCTTATAGCCTAGCTACCTATGACTGGCTCCTCAGGATTGATAGCAAGAGGCAGAGTCCAGTTCAGTGCAAAGAGAAACTTTCTATTCATTAGAGTTGATTCACACTGGTAGGAGCTACCTGGGGGAAGAATGCATATCTTCTCTTTAGGAAAATACCACCAGAAACTGAATAGTAATTTACAGAGTGGAGTTGTACATTAGGAGGGGTTTGGATTAGATGACTTCTAAGGGTCTTTCCAGTTGCAAGTTTCTGTGTGCTTACAAGTGCTATTCAAAAGATCAGTTTGAGCTGGATGCAGAGGCACATGCCTGCAATCCCAGTTACTTGGGATGCTGAGGCAGAAGGATAGCAAGCAAGGCCATCCTGGACAACTTCCCAAAACTGTCTCAAAATAAAAAATAAAAAGTACTGTGGGTGTAGCTCAGTGGTAGAGTGTGTCTGGGTTCAATTCAGTGCTACAATAAATAAATAAATATATGATAAATAAGATCACTTTGATTATGTCTTTCTTCCTGTGGGTGACAACGAGATTCCTCTGGTGATTCGATTCATTCTTGTGTCCCCACAGTGCTTGGCACACTACCTTTTACATGTTAAATACTTAATGAACGTTTTGCTGAAATGCATTCCAGTGGATTAAATTCAGACTTGGTTAGGTTTGAAGATCAGGGAGAGAAAGAATTAAAAAATTATATGTAGAAATATAGGCAATGATATACCCCAAATTGTCTTAGGGATTTATGGAAGTTTCATCCAAACATCTAGTCACTTTCTCCTTTGTGTAGCAGTTAGACTAACTAAAGTTATCTGTTCTGTTAAGACTATGTCTCATCCATGTTTATATTTCCAGAAATACCCTGCCTGACATTGTGTCTTCATGGTCAAAACTTGTTCAGTGACACTGACTTTTCAGGTGTCAGGGAGAGAAGATTGCCTTGCCCAATCCTTCGCTTCCTGACTCTTCTGTGGTGCTTCTTTTTCTCTTTGTTTTTGTTTTTATCAGGTTTTTCTCACTGGATCTCTGACAATCCAGGCCCCCCTCCACCATGGCCAGCCGGGGTGGGGGCCGGGGTCGTGGCCGGGGCCAGTTGACCTTCAACATGGAGGCCGTGGGCATTGGGAAGGGGGATACTTTGCCCCCACCCACCCTACAGCCTTCTCCACTCTTCCCTGTGAGTGTTCCCCTCCGTTCCCATGACTCCCATGTGCCCCTGGCTGACTCTACCTGACCCTAGATTCCTCCTGGGCCACCATAAAACTGACCTCCTCCCTGCCCTCCCCACCCTCCACCCTGTCTCTATACTTTGAACTCACAGGGATGTTTTTTAGGCCAAAAAAGTGTTTCTCCTTACTTCCCATACCCACAGCTTCCCAGCTTTCAAAATGCTGGGGTGTTCGCCCTTTTTTTTTTTTTTTTTGGCCTCTGCTTATTCAGTGGGAGCATTGGATTAAATTGAGGCGAGAAGCTCTCATAAGTATGTCCTCCAGAATTTTCTCTCTGAACTGACCATGGCTCCTGCCTCCTTAGCCCTTGGAGTTCCGCCCAGTACCTCTGCCTTCAGGAGAGGAAGGGGAATATGTCCTGGCACTGAAGCAGGAGCTACGAGGGGCCATGAGGCAGCTCCCCTACTTCATCCGGCCAGCTGTTCCCAAGAGAGGTCAGTTGACGTGCTAGCATCATGTTTGGAGTGCTTCCCATGGGCAGTGCCTGTGCTCAGCACCACCACCGGGAGCTAGGGGAAGTACACTAACTAGGGAGATGATGGTAATCACTTCTGTGTCTAAAATGCATTTCAGTGTGATTTGTTTTGAGTCTTACAATAGTCCTGGGACAGTGGGAGGTTAAGTATCAAGATCTCATTTCATACGTATAAATGAGGTGTGTATTAAATTTTAAGCAAAATTTAATAAGCCCCAAACAATCAGAAGGATGCAGGGTCTTTGAGCATCCTTCCTAGGTAAAATAGTAACCCTCTGGCTCGTGGGTCACAGGGAGGTAGGTAAGGGGGAACTAAAAGAGGAAACGTGGAAGGCTTGGGGCAGTGACCACTTACCAACTGGTATGCAAGTACAGTGTTTCAGTGTATTGACAGCTGGTGCTTTTCTGCTGGAATCCTGAAAACTGGGGCTCAGAGAGGTGAAAAACTTTGTAAATTAACCCTGTTAGCAAGGAGAAAAAGACTGAAACACAGGTTTCTTGCTGGGTATACTTTCCAGTTCACTACTTTATCTCTTAATATGGTAATGCCTTTGAGCTAAGGGAAAAAGAAATATCGTCATAATTTCAGGTGGCAGAAGGGCAGGTTAGAAGGGTAATGAGGTCCTCACTGAAGCTGACTCCCTGGGCTGTGTGTTGGTATGAGAAGGTTGACCATTTCTTAATGTTGAAAGGGTGAACCCTCAGGAACAATCCTGTTTAAGGGCTCTTAAGGGATAAACCCTGATCCCTCATGTGGAAGCTAGAGAGAAAAAAGGAAAAGAAAGGTGGTGATAGGATCTCATAAAAATCAGAGGGAGGGGCTGGGGCTGGGGCTCAGCGGTAGAACACTTGCCTAGCATGTATGAGGCCCTGGGTTCCATCCTTAGCACCACATACATACATACATACATAAAGGTATTGTGTTTATCTATAACTAAAAAAATATTGAAAGAAAAGAAAATCAAAGGGAGATCAGTAGAGTTGAGGAAAGAGGGCGGGGCAAGGAGAAATATTAGGGAGTGGTATCAGTTAAATTACATTATTGTAGCATGTATACGTTCAAATGTGTAATGATGAATCCCACCATTATGTACAATAATGCACCATTAAAAAATATGGAGGAGACAGACATGGAGGCACATGCCTGTAATCTCAGTGACTTGGATTCTGAGGCAGGAGAATCTCAAGTTCAAGGCCAAACTCATCAACTTAGCAAGACCCTCACCAACTTAGTGGGACCCTGTTTAAGAATAAAAACTAAAAAGGGGCTGAGGATGTAGCTCAGTGGTAAAGCACTCCTGGGTTCAATCTCCAGTTCAAAGTAAAAGAGAGAAATAAAACTCTGACCCTTGACCTTTGACTCTTCAGATGTGGAACGTTATTCAGACAAATATCAGATGTCAGGACCAATTGACAGTGCCATTGATTGGAACCCTGGTAGGTGGTGAGCTCTTTCATTGACTGCCCTTCTTTTAAATGCTTGATATGCCTCAAACCACCACCCCACCCTCACCCAAATGTCCCTGTATTCCCTTCCCCATGTAGCGTCTACAAACTAGAACTTTACATATGCTTCAAAACACTCTAAGATTTTTGTCCCCAAAAAATCTCATAAGTAACCCTCACTCCTCATGAGGGCATCTAACCCTCAATTTTGTCCTGAGAAACTTTAACCCAACCCCATCCTTCCTTCCTGTCCTTAAAAACCCTCTTCTCCTTTAATAGCAGTCATTCATTATTCATTGATGACTCCAGGCAGGGTCCTGTTGACACTCACATTTTCATCATTCCCAGATTGGCGGCGTCTACCCCGAGAGCTAAAGATTCGAGTGCGGAAACTACAGAAGGAGAGTAAGTGTATCTGTAAAAGGAGGGAGAAGTTTCTTCTGTCCGCTAAAAGGTCTTTTCTCCTAATTCCTATCTGGTCCTAGAGTTTTTGTTAGGTGTCATGATGGCCACATGAGGGCAGCAGAGTGACATGTTCACTGCAGGAGAGTAGAGTGGACGGCAGCCACTATGTGCTTTCTGACCCTTCATCTCTCAATCCCCCCACCAGGGACCACCATTCTGCTCCCCAAGAGGCCCCCTAAGACCACAGAAGATAAAGAAGAAACAATACAGAAATTAGAGGTGAGGAAAAATGTCAGTAGAGAGCTCCTGGGCCCTAGATTTACTCTCTGTCTCTTGGCACATGTTTGCCTTGATTTTTCCCATCTGTGAACTGAATCTGAGTCTCTTCATCTTCATATGAGACCTTGGAAAAAAAGGAGGAAGAAGTGACTTCAGAGGAAGATGAGGAGAAAGAAGAAGAAGAAGAAAAGGAAGAGGAAGAAGAAGAGGAGTACGATGAAGAAGAGCATGAAGAGGTGACAGGGACCTTCCACTTCAGTCCCCCCTCCCTTCCTTTCCGGATTCTCAACTCTTCACACTGCAGATGCTCTTCTCAGGGGGTTACAGGGCCAAAGGAGAAAATGCCACTGAAGGACGGGGTTTCCCTTCACTTAGTGTGTCCCCAGGCTGTGCTCAAAAATGAACTGCGGCACACGCCTGCGATCCCAGCAGCTCAGGAGGCTGAGGCAGGAGGATCACAAGTTCAAGGCCAGACTTAGCACTTAGCAAGACCTGGTCTCAAAATGAAAATAAAAAGGCCTGGGAGGTAGCTCAATGGTAGAACACCCCTGGGTTCAGTCCCCAGTAGGGCAGAACAACTACGGCTAGAAGGGATGCTCCAGACCTGGGTGGGGTGATTGGGAGTAAAGGGTCCTGTACAGAGGGAGAAGGAGAATGCTGAAGCATGTCTGACTTTCACTTCTCTTTTTCCATTTCAGGAAACTGACTATATCATGTCATATTTTGACAATGGAGAGGACTTTGGGGGTGATAGTGATGACAATATGGATGAGGCTATATACTGAAGAAAAGCTTGAAACAACACCCTGGCCCTCATATTTTTCTTGATTTGGAATAATTGTCCCTATTATTTAGTTTTGTGGACAAAAGAAATCATTTGGTCAGAGTCCACATTACCTATTCAGTCCCTGGAGAAGGAATGATGACCCATAGCATTCTTTTTTACCCCTCTTCTTCTGAAACTTTGTATCACTCTGATTCTTGGGGAAAGGGGCAAGTATCAATGAAGGGAAAGAAGAATGGAAAGAATAACCAGGTTAGAGCTGAGATAGCTGTATGCATACCACTACCTGATTTTTAGGTTTTGTTTTGTTTTTGTGTGTGTACATAATTGCGGGTGGGAACGGGAGGAATAAGACCAATTTTATATTTTTAAATAAAATGTTTTTTATCTGTCTCCAAAAGGATGTCTGGTGAAAGGCTGAAGGGGATGCTGGGCTGAACCTGTCTCTACCTGACAAGAGTCCAGTGGGTACACTGGGTGCTGTAGCCTTCTTGACCCTTGTTTCTTCCCTCCCACCTGCAGATGGGACACATATTCACTGTCTAGCCCTGCCAGGGAATATTCAGAAACTCACCTGCAGGGGCTGGTGGTATAAGTGTGAGACCCTGGGTCAATCCCCAGCACCACATAAAGATAAATAAACAAATAATAAAGATATTGTGTCCATCTACAACTAAAATAACTTAAAAAAAAGAAACTCATCTACAGGACTGGGGGCGAGTTGCAGAGACTAGCCCATACTCTGAACAGACTGGCCAGCTTCTGAGTTTCTGGTCTTTAGGTCAGAGCTACGTGATCACCTCTGTTCACATGTGTTCACAAGGACACAGGCCCTCGCTTTCCCACACTTGACCTTGATCATGCCCTTATTTACAAAGAATGATTACAGCTATTTTTGTAGGGAGAGTCAAGAAAGCCAAACGTGGGGGGAGAGGCGGGGCTGACTGTTGTTCCACATGCTCAGTCCTCTTCTAGTCCCTGGAGACCCCACTTTGAATAGAATGTGTATGCAGAGGGAGCTCCCTAAATATCCTAATCTCCGCTTGCAGAAGCCACAGTTTCTCTTTTGGTCTTTCAATTTGTAGAATTCAGCTAGCCTTCTCATTCCCTTCTTTGAGGAGGGGGTGTAGGCGGTATTGCTTTACAGGAAGTAAGGAGGGTGGAGAGGAAGGGAGTGACTTAGGGACAGTCAGCTCTGAGAGATGCTTTCTCGCCCACACAGCTCTCCCCTGGGTGAGGTCACTTCCCTAGACTCTGATTGGCTTCTGAGAAGCCTTAGAAGAGCTGATTGGTTCCAGCTACTTGCCACGCAGCTGTCATGAGTAAACTGCGTGTCCAGAATAGGAACTGAATAAGGAAAGGAGCGTACATATCTGGGTTGCTATAATAGCGGTGAAAGTCGTAAGGTGTTTGTAGGAGAACCTTCAGGAAGTTTCCCAACTGCATTTAAGCAGGCCATTCCCTGTAGCACCAAGTGGTAGAGATTGGTAATCGGAGGTCTGATGTTTCTGACCCCTTTGTAAACCATGAAGAGGAGCTTTGACTTCATTGAGGGAAGCCCCTTAAAACTCTAGTTTCAGGAGCTGGGGTTGTGGCTCAAAGGTAGAGCCCTCACCCAGCATGTGTGAAGCACTCGGTTTGATCCTTAGCACCACATAAAATAAAATAAAGATATTGTGTCCACCTATAACTAAAAAATATTAGAAAGCAAAGTGTAGTTTCAACGTGGTAGTGTTAAGATAGAAGCAGCCAAGAAAATAGAAAAGGGAACAGGAATAGAAACAGAACATTCCAGAGTTATTGAGCAATTTGTGATGATTGGTGTGTTTTCTTTTCTAGTTCTCTGAGGTATTGTATGAGTGGAGCAGGGGCAGGGGATCTGTCACTGGGGTTTTTCATGACTACATTTCAGCCTATGATTTTGATTAGGGAGAGCTCAGCAGAAAACAAAAGTAAAAGACCCTGAATTTTTTTCCTTTTACCATATTCTGTATATGTACATACACACTGCACACACCCCGCAGTCCTAACCTGCTCCACTATATCTGTAGCTATGGTGGGTAAGGGCCATTCACTAAATCCTGTGTAACCTAGTCTGGGAACAAAGAGTCTGGACAATAAACAGTGGAGGAGAGCTTGAACCCTATCCCACCTGAACCTCTACACATGCACACATCCTTTTTCACCAAGCTGGGGAAAGCAGGACAAAGGTTGGAATGACCACTTGGGATCAGTTGTACTGCCTCAAAGACAAAGTGTCGGAAAGATTCTTGAACTCTACTCTGTCTGGCCTCCTGCCCTTCCTGGCAGGTGACCTTGTTGGGCAAAGCCAGAGACAGGAGACCCGGCAGATTCCCCAGATTCCAGGCATAAGCTAGAGTGTTTCCATTGACCTTTCTCCGACTTACCATAGGTACTACTGGGCGGGCAGTCCAAAGCCAAGTACACAGAGCTGCCATTCCCTTGGAGGAACACTTGCAGAGGACTCACACAGTGCTTGTCAGCCCTGTACTGTGGTCAGCTAGGGCCTGTTTGTGTGGAAGAGATGGTTTCCATGCCCACAACCTGGACCACACTGGCCCAGGCAGAGTAGGTTCTATGACAAGAATCTTATTTTTCCCTACCCATGCTCCATCCCTTACCTTCCTGGTCCTCTCCCACTTTGGCAGGCAACTTGAGAACCAGGTCTGCAATAAGTATAGGTACTCAAAGTAGTTTGCAGGAGGCCTGAATGGGAGACCTCGATGTAAATTGCAACCTAGGGGCTGGGGGTGTGGCTCAAGCGGTAGCGTGCTCACCTCGCATGCGTGCGGCCCGGGTTGGATCCTCAGCACCACATACAAACAAAGATGTTGTGTCCGCCAAAAACTGAAAAATAAATATTAAAATTCTCTCTCTCTCTCTCTCTCTCTCTCTCTCTCTCTCTCTCTCAAAAAAAAAAAAAAATTGCAACTTAGGATGGGAGTGGAGACCAAAAAAAAAACAAAAAAAACTAGAGAGTCAACCTGGGTATGGTGGCTATGCCTTAATTACAGCGATTTGGGATGCTGAAGCAGGAGGATCTCAAGCTCAAGTCCTGCCTGGGCAACTTAGTGAGATCCTGTCCCAAAATAAAAAAAATAAAAGGGGAAAGGGATTAACTTCAGTGGTAGAATACCCCTGGGCTCAGTCTCTCAGTCTCCAGTACAAAAAAAAAAAAAAATTGGAGAGTCAAATGGATAAGGTGATTGAGTGCCCATGATTTAGAAAGAAAAAGACAGTTGTTTTCTTTAATTGATTTTTATTGTTGTTTGAACTTTGAAAGAAAGAAAGGGAGGCATGTAGGCGCAGTCTGACTAACAGATAAGTTCAAGGGAAGAAATGCCATCTCAGTTGGGCAAAGCACTATTTTATTGTCCTAGTTTCACTACTTCATAGTTTTGTGCCCTGAAAAAAATCATGTGAAAGTTCCATGCCTCAATTTCCTCACTCTGATATGTGGATTTGGACTACGTGTCCTCTGGGAACCCTTCCAGCTCTCACACAGTAGTACTGATATTGATCCACCTGCAAGAGTCCATATGGCTCTGAGAACAAAGGCAGGATGTGTCTGGCTTTTGCTAAACACATTCTATCCTCTGGATTTTCCCACCTTATTTTTGGCCTGGGCTGGCTAAAGATACCTCAGGCATCTAGCCAGTCATTCCCAAGAGCAGCAGGGAGATCAGAAATTCCGTCAACTAACAACAACCAAAAAAAAAAAAAAAAAAAAATGGGGGGGGGGAATCCCTAGAGTTCAAGGTCACAACCTGCAAGTCCCAACTCAAATCAAGCTGACTATTAAGATTTCTGACCAAGGAAGGGGCTGGCAGGTAAGGTCTTCTCTATCCTTCTCAAATATCTCATCTGGCCTGTGGACAGAGAAGATAATTGAGCTAGACAGAAATAGCTCAGTTAGATAATCTGGCCAAACCAGTTGTAACCTTTTCTCTACTGACCTTTACACTACTAAGTCCATCTATTCCCCAAGGTTATTTGGGATCACAAATCAGGAAATAAGAAATTTCACCTTTTTAGCATCATCTTGGAAAGGGCGTTGCCTATCCAACGGACCTAAATTTGCCTCTTTGAAACCTAAAAGGAAGGGAGGTTCTACCACGACCCTAATAGGAGTCAGTGGGGAGATGCTGATTGATCCCTAACTGCAGGACCTTGAACTCCAAGAGCTAGGGAAGGGATCCAGAGTGGACCCTGACCCATGTTCCATGACCTTGGAGTCTAGGACTATTTTCCACTCTCAAACGTCCCTTCCTCTCGGGAGCCTCACTGTGGACTATGTTCCCCAAGTTTAGACCTCTGCTTCTTCCTCAGTTGTCCCCATCCCATGTTTCCTTTTCTCTTGGTGTACAGTAGAGAAGGGGAAGTGTCCAAATTCTGTCTAGCACTTTACTACACTCAGAACAGCATTGGTAGTATTAGAATAGAGGGGGTCAGTTAGACCTATGTTTGTCTTTCTGAAAAGGGTGGGAGGAGGAAGAAGCCCACCAAAGTCAGGGACACAGGTTTGAGGTCTTTCTCTTCTTGGAAGGAATAGTTGAAGCCTCATTTGGACAGAGAAAGAAACCCTGGTTTTCATCCTCCTTTTGCTCAGCTATGGCCAGAGACATAGCCATCTTGGAGAGGAGATTCCCTCATCAAGTTAATGCTTCTCCCTTGTTTTTCTCGTGTAGGGTGGTAAGAGGAAGTGAAACAGAGATGGACCTTAAAGAAAGGGGAAATGCTGACCAGCCCTTTTCTGAACACTCCATTTCCTTTCCCGAGCCTCTCTCCTGACGCCTGGGCCTGGCTCCTGTCCTGGGTCTTGCTCTGCACCCCGAGCTACCACTCTAACACCTGTGCAGAGACATCAGGGATGTCTGCACACATCACAGAAGCTGATGGGGCCAGGCAAGCAGGGGTGGCTCAGGACCAGAAGGAGATCTGATCTCTCAGGCTCCTTCCTTCTTGTCTTACAAAAAAATAATTTCCCCATCTTGAATCTCTCCCCATGTCTGTCTCTCCATGTCTCTCTTTGCTTCATGCCTTTCTACTGTGCTGCTTAAATTGGTTTTTCCATGGGAGGATGTGGTAAGAACTATTTGGAGCCACAGAATATACCTGGCATATCTTCCTTAGTGTCAGTTTTACTTTGAAGATTTGGTGAGAGACAAATCACTTTTTATACCGAAACCAACACAAGTATACTATGTAATGTAAATCAAAATTTGCATTTTTTAAAGACAAAATAAGCACATCAAAGACATTTCTCGCTTGTGACAGGTCTACTTTGGACTCCTATGAGAGCCCTGAGGAGAATGGTTCACTATCCCAAATCTTAGAAGTCCTCCGGAGGAAATTCTTAGAGCAGCAATGACAACCCTA